TAACTCCCATGGTTCAGAATTCAAAAAGCCTAAATGCACTGTGGTATCCTGGATTGGGTCTTGAAGAAGGAAAAAGCAGAAAAATGGGTAAAATTCAAGTGATCTGCAGTTAATAGTAAGTGTAAGATAAATTTTAGCTGAAATAAGCAGGCGAAGAGAGGCAACAAAGGGCCGGCAGTTTATGTGAGCGCCTCTCCCGGGTGATGTTCCGCCGTCTGGGTGTCACAGGCTGGGGAGGTCACACCTGGTCAGGGAGGCGGGGCTTATAAGGGGCTAGGAGGGGGAGGAGCGGGCAGGCTATCCCAGGGGGCGTGGAGAGGTATGATCGGCTACAGGTGACATAATAGACAACTAGAAACTTTTTTTCCTTCCAAGAGGGAGGAGGCTGACATCCGGGTCTCAGTTGGCATCAGAAGGATGGAATTCAGGAAGAGCTGTCCCCTTTCCGTATAAGGCATGGACCTTGGGGTCTGGCCTGTTCTCCCCCTATGGCATCTCTCTGTTCTGTTTGCATGTCCTTGTTTTTCCTTCCTCCAGGCTAACAGTAAGGACAAATAAAAGGACAAATGGATATGACAGACACTGAAAAAAATCTCACTTCCGTTCCATTCCCCAGGTACCCAGTTACCTTCCCATAATCGACCGGTGTGATTAATTAGTCATGAGTGTCCCTCTGCAAGCATCTGTGTGCGCATTCTGTTCTTCACAGATGTTAAGAAGGTACATACACTGTTCTGGCATTTGCTTTGTTTTTACTCTTAATACTGTCTGTTTAGGGGCAATCTTATTTCCGAACATTTTCAGTGTAAATTACACCTCACAATTTCAGTAGCACTGTGTACCTTGCTTTCTCACTAACACTTAAAGGGTTTTTCTTGAGCTGTTTCTGGCAAGATAGCCAGGGATCTGTTCAAACAATGTTGGAGCCTATGATAGGACTCAAAGGCCTGAGACTTTTGAGAAAGGTCACTGTGGGTAAGATTGTAACATTTCCAGAATCTTGCCTGGCTTTGGTACATCTGCATATCAACAGGGTTCAGAGGTGGAAAGAAGTATGGCTTTAGTGCATTTGCATATTTCCTCAGGGGTGGAGAGGTCATATCCATATCAATGGGTAATTACCTGGGCAACGGAGGGCTTATCTGTACCTGAGAGGTCGGGGGAGAAGTGGTTTTGCTGCTGCTGGAGCAGGAGAGAGAGATGGCCTGGACTGCAGTTTGATAAGCAATAAACGGATTTTAAACTTTTATTTCTCCCTTTGACTGATTTTGGTTTTTAGAGGTGTTATGTGCCAAGATTTCCTTTCCTTGAACTAACAGGTATCGTGCCTTTTTGATTTCCAGGTTTGTTGTAACTTAAATCTACCTGTGTTTACAGGAAATATTAATTCTGACTGCTATTCTTGGGGAGTTAGGAGCCTGCACACCTTGAACACATGTCTCCAGTTTTTCTGTTTGAATGTCTGGCTTGGGCACCAGAGTCAGTGAGCCCTTGGTAATCAGTAACATAGATTCTAACATTTGTATTGTGCTTTCCATTTATGAGGTACTTCATTTACATCATAGATCTTGTTCCTCACAACAACCCCAAGAGAGAAGTAAGGTAAGATTTGCCCCTATTTTCCTGATGAGAACTTTCTGAAAGCCTTGAGTTAAGTCTTCTGACTTGAGGTCATGCTGTCCTTTCATCCTTTCACACTGGTCTGCTCTGTTGCCAAAGCTCAGATGATCTGGAATGTTCTCTTAGCTGCCTCTACTTCCTCAGTGGGTGATAACTATTAATAGCTGACATTGGAGGGCTTACTCTTGTCAAGCACTAACATAAGCACTGTATATGAATTTTTTAATTTTAAGAACCATGTGAGCTAGGCTTTACAGCTGTACAGGTACAGAAACCAAGATTCAGAGAAGATAATTTATTTGTCTAAAGTCGCCCAACTCGTATTGTTAGAGCTGGGGTGTCAATCTCCGACTCCCAGACTTCCAGTGTGTGCTGTGTGTGCTGCCCTGAGTCAGAGCCTAGTGTCCTGTTTCTTTGATTTGCTCTTCCCAAGAATTCAAACAAAGGTTTGCTCTGGAAATCCAAATCGTTTTTGTACATGGTGATAAGCTGCGGTGTGGAGGTGGGGGGGGATGAAGCAAGGAGCGGTGACAGTCTCTGATCGTGAGTCTCACAGCTTTTTCTGGTTCTTTACGTGATTCTAGTTAAAGGCTCTTTCCCTTTGTTAGGTATGCCGCACCGTAAAAATGGATTAAGATATTGCCACAAAGCAGAGGAGAGAAAGGTGAAAATATTGAGATGAAGTTGAGGGGAGAATATTCAAGTCCCACAGAATAAGGGCATTGTATAGATATAAAATTGAAACATCACTAATGCGGTGGTGATAATTACTACTTTGAAGTGAATTAAGTACAGACCTAGGAGACAGTTGACCAGGGTCATCCTGCTAATGAAGATAGTTAGAATTTGCTTGCCTGTGCCTCAGGCTTTCTGAGCACGAACTGGGTCATCTGCCAGTTCTGCCAATTCATTCCCGACGGCCTTTTCAATGGGACGCCTTTTCAATGGGACGACACTCCGGGTCAGCCCTGGGAGACCTGTCTACGTACAGGTCTCCCTCCTGCATGTGGACGGCCCCTCCCTGTAGGATGACTCGAGCCGAGCAGCCTTGGACCGAGCACTTATTTGTAAAGCCCTGGATGGAGAGGAAGAGGCAAGCTTGGTCAATATGAGGCAAGACATGAAAGAACGTTACAGTGACGTCACTCAGACTTCCTCAGGACTGACCCTTTTCTGGTGTGACACGAGCTGTTTCAGGCACAAGAGACCACACCTGCCAGTTCTGCTTCCTACTCTGTCCTCTGACAGCAGCTGGCAAGTCAGATCCTGTTTTCCCTCCACCACTGAATGAGTGAACTGTGTCTGGGTGTCGGAACTCAGTGCCTTTGTGCTACGAATGTCACCTTGTTCCCTGAGGGTCGCTTTAACCCCTGGCCTAACCTCGCTGTTGCCCCCGGCACTCCCTGGTTTTCCTGGTGGGCGCAGAGCCTGGAGAGGAGACCAGAGGGAGCCGTAGAGAGGACCCTGTGACTGCTCAGTGCCTCAGTTGTGTATGGGCAGCATCAGCCAATTTCCAGGAACGCAGCACAAGAGGGGTCGTTTTAATCTGGCAAAACACAGCCGTTAAGGTCAGAACTGCTCCCCGAAAGCAGGTGCAGCTGACATTCGCTTTTTCAGGGCGGAGGTGGCCTCCAGAGGCTCTTCAGACTCTCCCTGAGCAGATGTTTTTGTTGACACGGAAATTACTTTTCCCCGATGAACTTTTAACTTCTCTAAGTCAATGACTTTGCTGTCATAAAATGCACTGTCCCATTTTCAGGGGGCTCTGAGTAGATCTGGGTGGTCAGGAACCTGCATTTTTAGCAAACAATTTAGGTGACTCCGATATTCAGTGGACCACAGACCTGAAAAGACTGCTTGGATTTTGTTCCAGTTTCAATTCAGCCCAGTTTTTGAAAGTCTTTCTGCTGCAGTCTGTTTCAATCATTTTCTTCATTGAAGGATTCATTAGCATCTCCATGTTTACTGCCTGTTTGATTCTCACGTGATCACAGTAACTACAGAGGGAACCTGAGATGGCTTAGCTCCGTTTCACTGTGGAGGAGGGTGCGGGAGGTGAGACCGGGCCGAGGGAGAGGCAGGTCACAGCGAGTCAGAGACCGGCGGGAATTGAAATCCAGGGTTGAAGACCCTCAAACCAGGCTATTTCTTGGGCTCTGTTTTTTCCAGCCTGTGATTCCATGCTTGATCATAGTGCTCCTTAGGTGTCTACTGCACGGCGCTTGGGTAAGCAAAGCATAGTTGAGTTTTAAACAATAGCGTCGATCAGTGTGCTAATTTTTGTTGAGCATATTGAGGCTTGTGTAAGCTACTGCCCAGGTGATGATACGTAACTGACTTAATGTGCTGCTGTCTGCACTTGCTTCCCTCATGATTTCTGAAGACTTTTTCCATAAAATAAAAGGGTTTGGCCTTCATTTCGTGTGTGAAAACACCTTCATCATTTAAAATCCGGCTCTACTTTTCTCGTTATCCTGGAAGATGAGCAGCCTGAAACGCGCTTGCAGGTGTAGATACTGAAATTGTGTAGCAATACCAGTTATGAAGTGATCAAATAACGCAGAATACACTTATGCAATTTTAACAAATATGAGAATGAAAACAGAACGAAGGCCCTAGACGATACATCCGTAGGCCTAGTTTGAGAGGACCCTTCAGGTCCGTCGGCCCCCAGACGTTCAGCCCCGTGGAAGGCCGGGTACCCCACGTGCAAGGCAAAGTCTCCCAACCGCGTTTGTTCACGATCTCGCGCTTCACAGTCAGACGCGCAGAAATTGCACTTCAGAGCCCGTGATCGGCACGCGTGGGCGGCGGGGACGGCCTCCGCCACCCGGGGACCCCGAGCGGCCCCGCGCCGCGCGCAGCCTGTCCGCGCAGCTCGCGCCGGGCGGGCGCCGGGGTCTCGGGCGCAGCCGACGCCTTTGCGGCTCGCGGGTCGCGGGGCGGCGGCCGGAGGCGGGAGAAGATGGCGGGCGCGGCGGGGCCCGGGGCCGGGGAGGCGACTCCCCCCTGGGCCCGATCGTGCTGCTACTCGACGGGCTCTGCGACGGGGACGCGCGGGGTCCGGGTCCGGGGGAGCCGGGCGGGGAGCCGCAGCCTGAGGGCGAGGGGGGCCTGCGGGCGGCGCCCCCGGGGGTCCCCGGCCGGCGGCGCGGAAGGGCTTCCCCGACCCCCAGCGGCGCCGCCGCCCGTTCTCCCCGCGCTCGTCCGAAGCCCCGTCCCAGCGGTGCTCAGAGGTTGTCACGGGCGCCCTGCCGCTGGGCGTGGAGAGGACGCGGGGCGAGCCGCTGCCGTTCCTTACAGGTTGTGAATTTTTCCGCTTAAAAAAGGTACGGGAAACAAAAGCAAAAACCAAACGAGAAAGGCCCAGGCGTTCCCACTTTTCCAGCGGCGTTCAGAACTTTGGCTGCTTTTTCGAACCCGTTACGCACCGTTTTAACTACCGAACTGAGCCTGATGCTTTCTGAGCAAGAGAAACAGGACTGCGTTGTCCTGTCGTGGCCAGACGCAGTCGGACATTCCCTGTTTAGCTAAGTAGCTGAAGGGAAGTGACTGGTAAGGGATCGGGGGTTTCTGATTGATTCTGTAAAGCAGAGCCCGGAAGACTTGACCTTTGAGAAGGAACAAGCGCTGTTACAGGGCGCAGGGCGGTCTGGAAACGGGCTCCGGGTTTTGTGCGTGTTCAGCTCCGGCCGCCCTGGTTGTGAGTGCGTCTGGTTGTCATTTCCAGATACAATTTATGATGAAGATGACGTTCTGTAGCTCTCCCTGAGCAGTTGGGGAATGTCACCTGCCTGGTGGGAGGTCCTGACTGCCCACTGTTTGCTGGTGAGTATATTTTGCCCACTCCCTTCAAAACTTTTGCAGTATAAGGGATAGTGGTGCACTAGGCACTCTACATTTTTTATGCAGGTCTTTTTATGGACAGTCACAGTGTAAGCTATGGAGAGAATAAATAATGTATGCATTTTGGACTCCATGAACCCTTTCTTATTCTCACTATGAATATAAGAATTCCTTTTCTTTTCTGCCTGTGTAAACTCATTTGTTAGTTGAGAGGTTAGGAGAAAAAGAATTTGGTTGTTTATATTGGTGTTTTTCCCCCCTGAAATTGGAACTCTTACTTCTTACTTAGCAATATCATGACTTTGGAAATGTTCATTAGCTTGTTTTTGATTGTGAGCATAACTTGTGCTCTGACTGTGAATTTGATGAGTTCAGTTCAATTTAGTTGGCTTCTGTTCATATCCTGTTCTATCAGGCACTGAAGTTACAGTTGATGTTAAAAAAGAACAGTGTGACATATAAATCAAGTATAAAAATCAAACAAATATTCATATTTGAACTGATTGTTTATAGTTCATAATGCATGATCAAAACTGAAAGTTTCTGTGATGACTGCCCTTGTACTGTTCACCATGTAACTTATTTGCTATGTAAGAATTTGTTCTCCATGTAAGAACTTGTTCGTTGTGCTTCAGAAGATTGGAGACTGACGAGAATTAGGCTTGGGGTGGATTAATGATTGTGCATTGAGCATTGACTTCCCTATACAGAATTTTATTGTTAACAAACATTTGATCAATNTTGAATCACTGTGTTGTACACCTGAAACTAATGTAATACTGTGTGTCAACTACCCTTCAATAAAAAATAATTATCTACAAAAAAAAAAAAAAGAACAGCGTGAGTGGAATGAGATCTTTGTCTTCAGGGGTGTCAACGAATAATCACTATGTGGTGTTAGGTGGAAAAATAGAAGCACAGATGAGTTACCCGAGTAATAGGAAAAGGATTAACCAGGGTGATCAGGGAAAACCTTCAGAGATAATGTCTGAACGAGGTTTTCTTTTTTAAATTTTTTATTAAGGTATGATTGATACACACTCTTATGAAGGTTTCACATGAAAAAACAATATGGTTACTACATATAACCACATTATCAAGTCCCCACCCACACCCCAATGCAGTCACTGTCCATCAGTGCAGTGAGATGCCAGAGATCCACTATGTCCCTTCTCTGTGACACACTTGAACTAGGTTTTGAAGGATGACTAGGAATTCCACATACTTTAGGGTTTAAATACTGTCTGTATGAAGCTGACTACTGTGATTTCTTTCACCTCTGGCCTTTCTGTGCAACTCCATGTATAGATACAGAAAGACAAATATAAATATCTGTTTGTCTCTCTCCATATATCTGCCTACAATTTTTCTACTTGGATATCAGACATGCATTTCAAATTTAGCACACCTAAAACAGAATTCCATTTTCTCTCCCAAAAGCACCTCATTTAGTTGTCCCATCTTAGTGGCATCACCATCTACCTGGTTGTCAGTCAAAACTAGAAGGCGCCACTGAATCCTCTACCCCGCAGCTCGCAGTGACTGCAGGTTCTACTCCAGATGAGTCCACTGCCCTCCGTCCCTCCTGCTACCATCTCTCTGTGGTCTCTCCAGGCCCCATGCTCTTTCCTGTAGATGACTGCAGCAGCTTCCGGACTGGTCGCCTACCGCTCTGGCCCCCAACCCCTCCCTGTAGTTCACTCTTCACCCGGCAGAGGGACGGATCATTTCCTGCCATGGCTTCTGGAAAAATGCAAAGTCCTGCCTCACCTTGTTTGTATCTAACAGAACCTGACCTGGGAGTTTCTTCCATGCCGTGTTCCCTCTTGATGAACTCATTATGTTCACAGTGGTCTTTTTTTGTTTGAATAAACCAAATTTATTGCTGCTTTAAGACTGTTGCACTAGGTATTCCCGCTGATAAGATGTTCTTTCGAGCTGCCGGCGGCTGCCCCTAGGCTTTTGGATGCCAACTTCAGAGCAGCTCAGAAAGGTCTTCCCTGACCCCGGGACCTGGGATTCCTCCCGGTCATTCCTTGCCCCGTCATCCTGTTCTGTATCTTTACAGAGTGTTCATCACCATCTACTTGTTTTCTTGATGAATTTTTGTCTTCCTCCATTAGACTATAAACTCTGCCAGAGCAAGTAACCTGTTTGCCTTGTTTCTTCTCCCCCCTTGGTGCTAGAGTACAATGATAATCATAGAAACAATAAATTCCAGAGGCTTGGAATCATGCAGCAGGTTGTGCTGGAGCATAAAGTATGGGCTGGAGTAGGCCAGAGAGGCGGGGGGCGCGGGGGGCGCATAGGAAAAGGGCGCGGAGAAGCAGGTGGAGTTCAAGTCTGGCGCATGTCTCCAGGGCTCGGCCTTACTCTGTAGCGGTGATAGCGATTATCCGAGATAGTGCCTGAGAAGCGGTCTGAGAGGCAGAGGCGGGCCACGGAAGGCCTGCCAGGGAGAGAGTTGGAGCTTTCAGAAGGGCTTCCGCAGTACCTCTTAGGACAGCTGAGTACTTCCCGCCTCTGTGTAGCAAACAGGTTTTGAAATATATTACTAGATAGACATACTTCTTTTCTTAGAGTCAATTCTGTTTACTCTCTTGGTCAGTTCTATGTGTGGGTTTTGTCCTTAACATTTGCAGGTCATGGTATCTGCTGAACCTAGCTGGATTAAATGCAGATCCGGAAAGGCTGAGGTTCAGAGAATCAGCCCTGTTTTACTTTTTTTTTGGGGGGTGTCATAATAACTTACTGAGCCTAGTTCTGGTCTGTTCTGTTTCTAAAGCTGCAAGCAAAGGTTCCTGACATCTTTGTACTCTTCACCCAGTTCCCTCTGAAACTCCTGCCTTGTGACTGGCTCATGAAAAGATTTTGGATGTATTCTAAAAAAGTGATTTTGTATCGCTGCATAGCTTTTACATCCAGTGATTCAGCTTACAATATTAACTCAGCCTTTCATAGGTTGGATAAATTGCAGGTCCACACAAGGGTAGATAATGGTTGCTTACACCTCCACAAATGGTAGAATAATACTCCAAAGGCTGTGGACTCAGCGGCCTGATGAGATGTCATTCTGTAATTACGGTGTCCAAGGTTGCTCATGTTTTTGCACTTACTGTTGAGCAAATAAACATGATCCTGTCTGAATTTGGCTGCATAGCTTTTACATCCAGTGATCAGCTCACAATATTAATACTGTGTCAGGTGTCTTTGTAGGTGCCCTGTGGGCACTGCTACCTGGGCCGTGAGATCTTGGGCACTGCAGGTCTGCCTTCAGGTTGAACACACCTAAAGTCACCACCGTGTGAGCTGAAAGTAACCGTTTGGTGCGATGTTGCCGACATTCTGCTTCCATGCAGCACCTCCCTTCAGTCACTTTAAAAGGTGATAGTCAGTATCTAACCTGATTCACTTAAGTTTTCTTTTTTTTTGGTGTACTCAGCCTCCTTTGGAAAGTTTGGCGATGGTAGAAGAGACTGTGGTTCGCAAGAAGGCTGTGGCGTCCCTGAGGCGGGTCTCCCAGGAACACACTCCTGGTGCTCTGGGGGCTCATTTTGTGCCTCTGGTGAAGCACCTCGCAAGTGGGGATTGGTTTACTTCTCGCACTTCTGCATGTGGTTTGTTCAGCGTTTGCTATCCCAGGGCTTCACGTGCTGTCAAAGCCGAGATTCGACAGTAAGATATGGTGGTTTTTTTTGGTTATTCGGGGTTACTGGGAAGTCATAGCTGACCGTTGACGCAGCACCCTGTCACCAGTGAGTGGCTGATGCTGTGGTGGGTCGGTGATGTCACAGTCTGGCTGGCTGTGCTCGTGGTTTTCTCCGTCACGTCTGTGAGTAGACGCCTGATCACTGAGGTTCATGAGGGAGAATCTGTATGCGTGTGCTTGGGCGCAAGTGTGTGTTGGGAGTGTTTAACCATTGTTTTTCGACAGGAAATAGTTCCATTGTTTCATTTGCTCCAGGTACTTCCATTCCTTGTGCTCAGATGACACACTAGTGGTGTGATGTGCTGCTGCTTCCAAATTGGGCGAATTCGCAAAAGTTTTAGAAATAGTGTGAAAAGTGAAATTGTTCCACTGTTCACTAATCTAGCTTCAGATGAACAGGTAAGGTAACTCCAAGTATTTAAGGAGCATAGATGTGCTCTTGTTCTCCCAACATTATAAGAATTTGTTGAGGGTGGTTCGGTTCTATTGTTAGGATCCTTTTTGCAAAATTAATACTTAATTCTGGCCTGGATAAAGTTTAGTCTGACCCCTCTTGGTGTCCGTTAATTTTTTTCTTAACCAGACCATGATTTTTCTCTTACATTAGTAGCTGTTACAGGAGTGGGGAGTCAAAGGAAGTGGGAGCTGTGATCAGAAAGGGGCACCGAGGCTGCGTCTAGGGGTGCATGGCTTTGGGGACTGTGGGCTGGACTGTCATATGGCAGAGTAATGTTTCCTGGAATTTTTGACTTCTCAGAAGAACAAGCATAGCTGTGTTAGGAATGCTCTTTGACCCTCTGCATCCTTTATGTGAGTGTATAGGATGACTTCACATAATAGCAATTTTTTTTTTTTGAGAGGGCATCTCTCATATTTATTGATCAAATGGTTGTTGACAACAATAAAATTCTGTATAGGGGGGTCAATGCTCAATGTACAATCATTAATCCATCTCAAGTCTAATTCTCGTCAGTCTCCAATCTTCTGAAGCATAACGAACAAGTTCTTACATGGTGAACGAATTCTTACATAGTGAATAAATTCTTACATGGTGAACAGTACAAGGGCAGTCATCACAGAAACTTTCGGTTTACATAATAGCAATTTTAAGTCCAAGGATCTAGGTCATCATGTTATAGAAATAACAATAACCATAGCCAGCTAAAGAAAGCACTTAACTGTTCTCAGCCTATTCTAAGTGGTTTTATGTATATGAAGTAATTTGGTTCTCACAACAACCCCATGGGCTAGATACCCCATTTGGCATGGCAGGAAACACAGAAAATTGGAGTAACTTGCTCCAGGTTGCATAGTTAGTGTGGCAGAGTTGGGACTCAGATGCAGGCAGTGTGGCTCCAGAGTTCACAGCATCCACTGCTGGGCCCTGCTGCCTCTCTGGGTGGTGCTTCTGGGGGAGCAGCCCCCAGAGTCTGGACTCCAGAAGAAGAGACCTTTGGGTTTTTAAGTTGCCTAGTGTCCGCCCTGGAATCACTTCACGTGTATAGGGACCAAGAGCACCAGATAAATACTGACGAGTCTCATGTTCACGTTCTCAATCTAAAGATGGTAAATTCTATTTTCAAAATAGTTTTTACAATTTATCAGAATAGCAGACAGAAAACAGCACAAAACATACAACTTCATGAAGTCTTATAAGGTAATGACATCTTGTAACCATTATCTCTGAAAGGAGACAGCTGTGAAGGCCATGGCCTCAGAGGCCCACCGTGGCCCCCTCCCAGACACCCCGACCCATTTCCCCTTGCTCTGCGCCTCCTCAAGGCTGACACTGTGTCTTGATTCCTTGACGGCCACCTTCTTACTTAGTTTGCATTATGGTCACTCAGACATAGTTTAAAACGGTGCTATTCAACAAAAAGGGTTAGCTACCTGTTTTAAGTTTTCTAGTAAACACATTTTAAAAAGTTTAAGACAGGTGAAATTAATTTTAATAATATATCTTATTTAATCCATTATATCCAAGATGATCATCACCTGAATATGTGACACTCGTCACATTTCAAGTACTCAGAAGCCACATGGGGATAGCGGTCACCACACTGGACAGTACAGATTTAGAATCTTCATTTGGAGTTTTGTTGATTATGTTCCCGATGGTATAACTTACCTTTTCTTTTGTCCCCAGTATTTCCTGAAAATCGGTAGTTGAATCTAGAGTGTGCGGTTTGCACACTTTCTGTGGAGGGCCCATATTTTGAGCTTGGTGGGCCAGATGGTTTGTTTTGTAGCTCGTCACCTTTGCTGTGGCAGCACAGAGGCTCTGTAACCCATGACCGAGGGTGTGGTGGTCCGGGGAGGCTGTGCTCATTTGGGTTTGGCCAATCTAGAGGCCCAGTGAGATTTGGGTTTGATGTGTTTGGGGTGTTAAGACAGACCACTTGACAGGTGGGGTTGCACTTTTTAATAAGAGGCATGAGATGTCTAGTTGTGACATATTAGAAAAAATACTAAGTGCTTAGTTGTAAAATCTGTTTATGTACATTGCCTCCGACCACTAGATAGAATTGCTTCTCCTGGCTTCTTCATTCATTGAAAAAACACTTACCAGGCACCTACTGCATGTCAGGGACTGTTCTAGTGCTGACATGTTAAAAAAGGCATACAAGGGCCATGGTCATGGGGTTTACATTTTAACGAAGGAACACATACTAAACAGATGAAGAAGCAAAATAGAATAAATGCTACGAAGAAATGAAGTGTGGTGACATACAAGGGAGTGATTTACCAGGCATTCCTCTAGACAAGGACTCTAAGGAGGTGATGCAAACTGAGATGTGAAGGGGAAATTGCCACATGGTTTCTTGGAGTGTCAGAGCTCCAAGAAAAGAGAACTCCAGGAAGAGACGACACCGAGGTTGGAGCACAGTTGATTGTGTGGCACCGTGGTAGGAGGTGAGGCTGGGGAAGATAGACAGGAACCAGATCACAGGGGCCTTTAAGCTAAAGTTAAGACTTCGGATTTTCTTTCCTAGGTGCAGTGAAAATATGCTGAGGCTTTAAGCAGAGGCATGACTTGATGTAATTTACATCTTAAAAAGAGCATTATGGTTCTTGGTGGAAACTGAATTGTAAGGGGTGAGGGTGAGAGTAGAAACAGGAAGACCAGTTAGGAGATCTTTGTTTTTCTAGGCAAGATACAGTGACGATCTAGGGTGGCATAGGGAAGATGGCAAGATTCCGTGGAGCTAGGTTTGGATGTAGTCAGGAGAACCATGATTGGACTGGGTGAGGGGAAGAGAAATCAGTCAGATCTTGATTTTTAGTGTGAGCCACAACTGGTGGGTGGTAGCGGCATTGCTGAGATGGAAGAGATTCTGGGAGGAGGAGCAGTTACAGGGAAGAAGATGAGTTGGGAAAAGAAGTCATTGATTAATTCAACAAATATTTATTGGCACATATACCCATAGATGATAGCAGTACCTTGATTTAGTAATGTTTTTGGAATCCAGAGATGTCCGTATCGCCACTACCAGGAGCCTAGTTTGGCCTTTTTTAGCCTGTTCACTTGGAGGATAGGGGAGTGAGTGTCTTGGGACGTGGAGTAAGTTTCTGTTCATCTACAGTTTTTCAAATTTGTAATATTTTGGAAAGTTGGAGTTACTGTTAACATACACATAATGTAAATACATATGTAATACACATTTAAAATGTAGTAGTATACAAACACTTGCACTGTTAAAATTTTTCCTAGGTGCTCATATATTTATGAATTTTTAGTTTCTACTTAAAATTCCCAGATCTATAATCTCAATTCCAGTTTCTCATTAATTTGTCTATTTGTATATTTCTACTTGCTCCGAGGATTTAACAGTATTATACTGACACCTGTCAGTGTACCTTTGGAAAGCTGAGGTCATTAATCCCTTACTTTTCTAATTGTTTCTGCTGCATTTTTCTTGCTTTGGCTGTCTCAAGTTATTCTGTCCTTGACCCTCAGTGTTCAAATTCAACAGGCTTTATAATTATTATCATTATTATTATTGTTTGGTTTTTCTGTGTATTTCTTTCCAAGTCATCATCTCATGCCTAAGTCCCTACTGTTGCTGCCCCAAATGGAATGTTTTGATTCCCTTAACTTAATCTCTTTCTGTGTTCTTATCTTTTATATACAACTTGTATAACTGCATTTTTCATTTTTCTCTATCAACAATTTATGTGAACACTTTGAACACATCATTAAAACGTTCTCCTTTTTTCACTTAATCTTTTTTTTTTTTGAGAGGGCATCTCTCATATTTATTGATCAAATGGTTGTTAACAACAATAAAATTCTGTATAAGGGACTCAAGGCACAATCATTAATCAACCCCAAGCCTAATTCTCAACAGTCTCCAATCTTCTGAAGCATAACGAACAAGTTCTTACATGGTGAACAAATTCTTACATAGTTTTCACTTAATCTTTACCATTTGCCATTTTATTTTCTGTAATAAAAACTGTGTGTGCCAGCCAAGGTAATTCACTTATAACTGTCGTTTTTACCGTTATGGCTCTGATATACCATTCAGCTATTTCGAAGCATAAGACGTGAAGTGACGGAAGCGTGGTTTTGTGTTTTCCTCGTTGTAATGAAACCCATGGCTCCACCCAGTGCCACACACAGTACCTGGTGGCTGGTGCTGACAGCAGGTTTGCGCCCTCAGGACTCAGTGCGCCTCCTGGCCGTGGAAGCGTGGGTCAGCATCGCCCAGTTGCTGTCTCAGAGGGACCTTGTGGCATTGGCGATGCCTGCTCTTCGACAGGCCGCAGAAGATAAATCTTGGCGAGTTTGCTATATGGAAGCTGACAAATTTTCAGATGTAAAATTATTGTACTGATGTTTTTTAAGTACTCGATTAAAAAAAAAAACAAGAAAAACCCCATAGATTTGCTGTTGTACCAAAAGTTTCCGAATTAATTCTCAATTGGAAGTGCTTGTAGCAAAAATACATACTTGAAGATTACACTAATTCGTGTTAATTACCTTGTTAATTAACCTGTTAAAATTTGTACACGTTCTTTTACAGCTCCAGAAAGCTGTAGGTCCTAAAATCACCCTAAGTGACCTCATCCCTTAAAGACTGTGAAGCTGAAGTCGGAGCAGCTGCCACCCACAAAATGAAAGGTTAAGGATGTATTGCTCATTTTGGTGAAATTTTTTTTGCTGTTGAATTTTAGGTTTTCTGGAATATCTTTTCAAACAAATAGAGATGATTGCAATGTGTAGAGATGTCACAACATACAAAGCTACTCCCTTTCTAATTAAAACAAAATAGCCATTTAATCTTGTTTCTGTAAAGAAAAAGAAAAAGCCTTTTCAGTTTGTATTGGTGTGGTGCGCACGGCATGTGGGTTGATAGAAGGTGTGTTTAGAATAGGAGCTCTTTTTCCCCTGGAAGCTTCCTTGTGTAAACATATGACTTGACTTAACTTGGAACTGTTGCTAAACCCTGCTCCTTGTAAATGGTTCTATGTAAGCATTTTTTTTCCTATTTGTGCTTTTTAGAACTTTGCGCGAACTTGCCCACTGATGGTAGAGAGACCATAATTTTGATTCAGATCCTCCCCTACATTAAGGTGAACCTAACTTTACTTTTTGTTTTACTCTGCCCTACCTGAAATTTTTTTGTTTTACCTTAATGCTCTTTGAGTTTAAGGTGGACAAGGTATGAATAGGACAGCTATGTTAATGTGGGACATTCTTATTTACCACTTATTAGTGCTTTGTGATTGTGAAATGCTTTTTGCCACATAGGTTTACATTATTTAATAGATGGTCTGAGGAAATGTGATCAGCTAATCAACACTGAAACAATGCTGTCTTTTTAAATTCCTTGGGAGCTGGGATGGAGATTTCTGTGGTCTTACAAAAATGAAAAGCTTTTCATTTTTATTTTGCTTTAGGAATTAGTATCTGATACAAATGAACATGTAAAATCAGCTCTAGCTTCTGTAAGTATGGGATTGTCTACCGTCTTGGGCAGAGAGAATACCACTGAACATCTTCTACCTCTTATTTTAGCTCAGTTAAAGGATGAGGTGAGTTTGGCTATAAATTCTATTGCCTTTGATAGTTGGTAACTTGGTTTAGTTTGGATTTGGGGTTTCACTAGAACAGAACCCAAAAGTAGGATAAAGGGATTAAAAAAAAGTAACTTATTTTGAACTACAGACAATCCCTGTGTTTGGATGTGGGGTTACAAGTTCCTCAGAAAATGGGCACAAGTTGCCACTGGTGCAGACCTAAAAATGTCTGTCCCACCTCTGCCTGATTCCTGCTGATACACAGTAGTTTGTTCTCTTTAAAGCAAGTGTATCTTTGTTTTATAAGTTTCTTTCATTTAAATTTAAATTATAATGGTATCAAAATGATAATGCTGGTTAGCATTTATTGAGTAGTACTATGTGCCAGACATGATCATAAATGCTTTGCATGTACTATTACATATAACCGTCACAACAGTCTGGTGAGGTAGGGCTTCTTATCCTCATTTTACAGGTGGGGAAGCTGAGGCACGGAGGGGTAAAATACGTCACCCAAAGTCTCAGCAATGGCAGATTTGAGATTTGAATGCGTGTGATTTGATTCCAGAGCCTATGCTCTTTGCCATCCTATAGACTTTTCATTGAGAGTTCTGGTAAAGATGAGTTTGATTTGTATGCTTTGAGTTGTTTGTGTCCTCAGTGTGAAGTATTTATTTCAAGGCTATACTTTCTTTCACCCGAGTCAATACTTACTTCTCAATTTAAAAATTTTTCAGGTGTTTTTACCTGATCATGACAGTAGGAGAACATGGGCAGATGACTTGAATTTCATGTGTGTTCTTTTGGAACTTGTGTGCTTGCAGTGTCCTGAAGTCCGCTTGAATATCATCTCCAATCTGGAGTATGTAAACGAAGTGACTGGAATTCGTCAGCTCTCTCAATCTCTCCTTCCTGCCATCGTGGAGCTGGCTGAAGACGCCAAGTGGAAGGTCCGGCTGGCCACCATTGAGTGTATGCCGCTGCTGGCGGGTCAGCTGGTGGGTGCAGGACCTGCGAAGGAAGGGGTAGCTTCAGGTAGCACAGCAGCCTCGCCGTGTCCGGGGGGAGGCCCGGAGTGTGTGGATGTGTATGTTCAGACGCATGAAAGTGATCTCTCTGAGCTGCCTGTAGAGTAGCTTTTACTTGTATTAGTGCATTAACTTCTAAGAAAAAGATATTATGGGAACACATGTCACCTCATTGCCACCTAAAAGCAAGGCCAGGTAAGGATATTATGTTTCCTGGTATATGTGACATAGTTTGTGATATTTAACGGCTTTGTAGCTTAAGGAATATTTAATCGAGAAGAAAAGGGAGTATGGTTTTGAGATAAGTCAGCTTTAATTTTTGCTCAGGGCAGCTTCCCTTTCTTGCCTGTATTCTAGGTAAAAATGTCCCTGGTTTCCAGTTTTCCTTTGTTCTGCCTAAAGACGTCGAGGAATCACTATGCAGAAAAGGAGTATTGAGGTTTTGAATGCTAGTTTTTTGGCCGAAGTCCGCATTATCATATTATCTGTTACTGTTTAAGTATCATGATTAGTTGTGCTCTTAACTGAAAACTATGTAAATGAAAATTTCAGTGCTGGGTTTTACAGCCACATAAGTGCCCTGGACAGGCCCAAGTCTGACAGACCCTAACCCTGTCGGTGCGACCTGTGGCGGTGTGTTGCCCCTCTGTCAGCATCTGGTTGGGGACGTGGACATGTGATCTCTTTAAGCACAGGGAATGTGCTCAGCATTTTATTTCCATTGCCAACCCTAATAGGCCTAAATTAGTGAGGCCCTTAACATTTTTTGAGCATCGAGTAAATGAATACCTTGGTATTGCTGAGAGAACTCATGCCAGTCAGCTCCCAGCCAACATCCTGCGGTTTACGTACCCTCTCCCAGCCCCACTTCTGTCCTTCCAGAGCACAGCATACAGGTTTTTTTCTTGGCCCACTGAATTTGTAATGCTAAATTTGGAATATTTTGTTAATGAAATCCATCTTACACATACCTGTTTTATAAAATTTGAAGTGTCCTACTCAAGACAGATGCGAAAGAGATCAGGAAAGGCTTAGGCAGAGTCACCTTGTCACCCTTTTTTCCCTCTGTCACTGCTGAGGGTTATTTCCTGTTCTTTGCTGGTGACTGTCATGGGTCACCTCTGCAGAGTGGAAAGCTGTGTTCAAGATGGAAGTAACTGTCTAAAAGGGAGGGTGAGTCTCAGGATCTTGTCCTCTTAGACCTGGGAAGTTGGTGAAAGTCGGTGGCTCTGCCGAGCAGCGTGGAGGCAAGGCGGGTGGGGGCTGTGACCGATTCGCACCTGTGTGGCAGGGGTGACACGCATCAGTCACAAACATTTTGTTAACACAACTTCAATGTCTTGTTAGTATCGTGTATTTTATCCTTTCTTTAATCTGTAAAGATTTTTATAACAGGTATTTATAAAATTCTTTCAAAAACTTATAAAAAACTTTATGGATGGCTTGGCTGTGAACCACGGTGAAGAAATGTAATTACCACCACACAAAAATCAGGAAATAAAAGTTAAAAACATATATCACAGCATTTACCTGCATGGTGCGAAATCCCCCAGTGACAGGTCTGCAGGAGCATGTCCCCACCTTGTGACAGGAGGGGCAGAGCTGGGACCGCCAGGACGGCTGCCCCTGTGTCCTGAGACCCCGTGACCCTGTGCTGGGGCTCCTTCCCCTGAGGTCTTGTGCCTGCTTTCTCCTGGCATCCCAAAAAGATTGTCTTTAATTGGGGCTGTCTCTGTGTCTTGATGTCAGTTTCTTTCTTCTTAAGGGTTTATTGTGGTACTAAAGAGAGAAAAAATTTGAGAATTGTTAATATTATTGACAGGTAATTTTCTGATATTTCATTTTTACAAATATGTAGAAATTGCTTGGCAGATTGTCCACAGGTACCATATCTGGCCCCTGGCGGCCACCCTGTTCCCTTCCATCTAGCAGGGCCTGGGCTGCCTCACTTACACTTTTGTTCATGATTTCTACCTAGTAGGGTAGATCTGCAGTTTATGAATCAAATGCTGTAGCACTCCTTTTCTGGCTGGTTCATGGATTCAGTGAATTTGGATACAGGTTTTCAGCTTTCAGATCACTTTGGTGCGATACAGAGAGGCCATTGTGATTCCCAGACTTTGGCAATATGTACTAATGGGATCTTCTCTGCCCATAGGGTGTGGAATTTTTTGATGAGAAGCTGAACTCTTTGTGTATGGCCTGGCTTGTGGACCATGGTAAGTAAGTAAGTTAAAAACAAGTTATCATGGAAGGCCTGTGTTTCTGCATGTACCCCTTTTTGTCATTTATTTCCTTTTTAGAAGGGAACACTAATCTGATCACATACTTGCCAGAAATATACGGTGATGAAGAAGGGCTTTGTGTAAAGTCTGGGTAGCTTCCTCTGAGCACAAGTGTGACATTTCTAGTTACCACCAATTTCTTCCTATCTTAAATTTTACTTTCTCCATTAAACGATATCTTTGTCCTATTACGCATTCTGCTACATTATTTTCAGACTGTCTTTTTTTATAAATACACTCTTTTCTTACCCCAAACCCTTCTGTTGGACCGTCCACCATTGGTGTCTTTGGCCGTCATAAACCGGGCTGCACAGGGACTGGAATGGGAGGAGAGGCCTGGGGGAGAACAGGCTGCTTTCCTTCTTTGGCACCACGGAGGGGAGGCACAGAGTGGTGCAGGAAAGGAGTCCAGGAAAGAGAGACGTCAGCTACGACTTGGGACCAGGGCCAATTTCTGGTGTTGGTGAAACATGGCCAGTACCCTGGCTACTGAAGCTTGGTGCTGAGAGAGGGCAAAGCGCAAGCTCAGGGCAGGGTCAGATGGGACAGCATTTAGGACGTAGGTTTTCACAGTTTATCTTCTCTTTGCCTTTAAAATATAATTAACTTCAACAGTCACAGAATCCTTGTCTTCCAGTGCCACAAACCGTTACCACTGCAAACTGGTACTGCTGCTTACCAAAATATACAAGACAGTTGTTTTCCATAAAACCACTTTACCTGTTAACTTGTCAGCATTTGACTTTCTGACAAGGTCTCAGGTCCAAGGTCTGCTCTTGTCTGCCATGCACCAATGGGTGGGAGGGGCGCCCTCTGTGCCTGTGCTGTCCAGTGCCAGTCCCCGTGTCCAGACCCGGCAGCTCAGTGTGGTCAGGCCTGTTCAGATGAGGCCCTGGGAGCTTAGCTCATGTTGTCCTGTGTGAGCTGTTCTCTAATCTGGTGGATATGATAGGCACCCTGATTAATGTCTGTAGTACCTTATGTACTTTATGCATTGAGTGTATCCGTTCATCTGCAGGTGCTTATACCTGGGTATTCGTGAGGATTGGGACTGTTTACGTCTGCATGTACGTGCAGGTGGATTTGTTAAGGGCTTATTTGGATCATATGGGAAATCATAGGGTTAAGAGAGTGTGAAGAGGAGGGGTGTGAAAAAATATGCAAATCTTATATAAAAGCATATGTATATATGTAGATAATTTCAGTGTTTCAAACTGGACTGTGAAGACTTATTTTCTTGCCTTCTAAAGTTACCTTTTTATACTTACTTTTTCTTTTTAAATGAAACTTAAGTTTGGCAATGCATAGGGAAGAAATTCGATTCTATGTAGAAAAAAAGTGTTTCTATTATTTCTGATACATATTCAGTATTAGTTGGAATGACATGTCCCAGTAGGTCACTTTATGCTTTCTTTGAAAGCTGGCATTTTAGGTTTATTTTGAAGAACTTTTAAAGCCCCAATTTTCCGCAAAGAACCAAACTCCCGACACCCTTCCTGTGTAGGGTCGTCTCTGTAAGTCGCTCACTCCTTCCGCTTGTCTCCGGGTTTTTTCTTTTTTCTTGCAGTTTGGAGCGAGAGAGACCCCTGTGCTCTCAGTGACACGGGCTCATTTCTCTGAGCCGATGAGTTTCCAGCCCTGAACTTGCTCTGCGCTCAGTCACGTTTTGTATTGTTTTGCCTTGTCCGTAGCAGCTGTGTACTGATCACTGACGAGTTATATGTTTGACACCTTTTTTCCTTGTCATTAAAGTGCTAAAAGAATGTCGTAAACATCCAGAGGTATAAGGAAGAACGTTATCACTCATCTCTCTTGCCATAGTTGAGTGGACAGTACTGAGCAGGAGGAATTTAGAAGGAAATTAATTTTTTGTGGGAGAAGGAGAATGTCGGAGTCAGCACACGAAGGTGTCAGCCACTCGGAGCCCTCGCTGAGGGGGGCGCGGGGCCGGGCGGCGGGGCGGGCGCGTGGCGGGCACGGCCGAGTGCCGCCAAGGTCTGAGCCGAGGCTGAGCACCTGCCCAGGGCTGGAACCCTGGCAGCGAGACCCTGCCGGTGGCATTCGGGTGGGAGAAGCTTGGATTAAAGCACAGAATTAGAGAAGGCGCATGCTCTCACTGTACCTTAGGGAGAGGCGGGGTGAGGCTGGTGCCCAAAACAAGGACTGTGACTGTGATGGGAAGGAGTTTGCATTGACGGGAGAGGCAGTGACCTGGGCTCCTTGGAGGGCTGCTGGGTGTGACCGACAGTTCGCCTCTTCCGTGGACGTCGGTCAGGTTGCACGTCGGTGCTGACTTACGCGGTTCCTGGCTGTGCTGTCTTCCCTGTGCTCATCAATGGCATTGCCTACAAGCATCCGCAGACTAGCAGAGCTGGGCACTTCCTGTCTGGAGGCCTTGTGCAGTCGCCCAGGGTCAGGGCAGTGTCTTGGATGGCTTTTCTTGCCCATCCTGTCCCCAGGAGGTTTGGGCTGCCTGGGGGGGGGGAGCACAGTGAGGGCCCGTATCCACCCCCAGGGCTGTCTGTGGTCTAGCTTGCATCTTGAGCATCCTGGGCCTGCAGGGCGCAGGAGCCCCAGGCCAGCCTTGTTCAGGGTCCCACAGAGCAACTCTTTGTTGCGGACACAGTAGTAGCTCAGGCCTTTATTGCCTACGTTTATGACGTCTTTGACACATGGTGTCACTAGGTGTTAAAGCAGGCACACTACTCACAGAAGATGTTTCACATGTCCCACTATCACATTTCAAGGAAAAAGAGGCAAATTGTTCTGAAGTTTTTATTGGCTGTCGTGTGGACGACCACAGTAACCTTTGCACGACCTTCACTGTCCGTCTCCACAGCTCTTCTTGCTGTGGCTGTAGGAACCTTGCTAACCCCCCTATTGGTCACTGGGCCACAGCTCTGCTTTCAAAAACCTGTCATTGTTTTCCTTACGAAGTCTAGATTTAGCTCTCAGGATGGTCTGTGTTGTGGGTCCACCCTAACTGCCCAACCTCATAGTCTCACATTTCAGTTTTTCTCTTTGTACCCGGGTTAAATTTTTTTGCCCTTTCCAGGGATTCCTTTTCTCTCTATGCACACAAATCCCCAAATCCTCCCAGCCCACTGAAGGCCTCTCTTTCCTGACCCCCATTCTCTTCGCGCAGGCCGCACTGCAGTTTCATCCCCCTTAGTGATGGCCGTGTGCCGTGCTGTGCGGCTGGCTGGAGATCTTTGAGGGGAAGCACCTTATTACTCTCTGTAACATGGAGCACTTAGGAAGCATTCAGCATCTGTCCTTTAATTAGTGACGCCCATAATGAGCCCAGTACCTCCTTCTCCTTGGACATGTATGTTGTAAAACTATGGTAAGACCAGATCAGTGTGTCATTAGCCACAGCCGAGCACGTTTGCCCTCGCAGTGTGCCTGAGCTTGGGGAGTTTGTTCCTGGGGTGATGCTGTGAATGAACCAGGTCACCTCACCTGACGGTGTGTTCTTCCTCTCCTGTAGTGTGTGCTGCCCGTGAAGCTGCCACCAGCACCCTCACGAAGCTAGTGCAGAAGTTTGGTGCCAAGTGGGCCCAAAATACCATCATTCCCAAGGTGTTAGTAATGGCAAATGATCCCAATTACTTGCATAGAATGACCACTTTATTCTGCATTAATCTAAGTATTGCATAGCTATTACTGCTAAGCCAGGTACTAAAGCAGTTACTCGGGACTGTATCTTTGTGCGCATTGCCTTCTGTTTGGAATCTGTTTATTACATTGGTTAATTTGGACAGGAGAGAAAATGTCAGGTCTCCAATTCTTGTTAAAATCTACAGTAGTGAGTGGTGGGTTGTGGATTCTTCTAGTTACGGGGTTATTTGAATTCTTCCTTGTTTCCCTCATTTAGATGCCTAAAATAGAGACATTTTCCTGTTGGTTGGTTATTTTCTTATTAAATAGTAGTTTGTCTCTTTAGAGTCTGGAGTTACGTCTGGAAGTGTTGTGAGTATGCCATCTTACTCCTCCTTCTAGCCGCTGTCTGAAGCCTGCGGTCAGGAAGTGACCACCAAGCAGATGCTGCCCATCGTGTTGAAAATGGCAGGAGACCAAGTAGCGAATGTCCGTTTCAACGTGGCCGAATCTCTTCAGAGAATCGGACTGATTCTAGATGCCAAGTGAGAGTTCAGTATTATTCTTGTTTAAGAAGTAGATAAAAATTTTTACCATGTAGTGGGGAGTAAGCTAAAACTAAGTTCAGTGATTTTCACTTTACCGAAAGTGTGGGTTTATTTAAAGAAAATAACCATTTTTGAGGGTTTTTCAGTCTGACTTTTACATTTAAGCTCTGTACGTGTAGATCATCGTCTGCAGCGAATTCTGCTGAGAGCTCGAGAAATCACGTAGTGCTTGTCGAGTGTGCATTGCAGACATTTTGTAGTTTTTATTCTAAGCTGCGATCATCGCCGTGGAGCATGTGTCGTACTGCAGGGCACTTCTCTGGCTGGCAGCGTGCCGCTCACACGCTGCTGTTGGGCCTTGGTGCTTTGCAGGAGGACGATGAGCCGGAGCTACAGAAGCTAGGCCAGGATGAAGACGTGGAGGTCAGGTTCTTCGCGCAGGAAGCCGTCGGTGGTGTGCCCTTCCGCTTGCTGCCGTCAGCCTCCTCTCTGGTCCACAGGGTCGCGTGTGGGTTCCGTGGGCAGGACGGTGACTCGGGGCACAAGGCTGCCGAGCTCCCTGATCGCTTGGGCCCCTCTGTGTCGTGCATGCTTGGCCCAGTTCCATGTCTAGGGCTGGGGAGGAATATGATTCCTACGGGTTTTTTTTTTTGGATTTTAATCGGTCGTTAAAGTTTTAACCTTTGGTTATCCTGGCAGAGTAAAGAGTTGGGCTGTAGTGAAAAGTCCATGGTCTTAGGCTTTTGGATCCTTGTTGTCATGCTTAAGATGCACATGGACCTTCTGTGCCACTAACAATTTTGTTTGGCGTTTTTCTAGTGCTGCGTTGACATAATGACAACAGGAGGGGAAAGACTTTACTAAATTCTTACTGCAGATTTCTAGGCAGTGTTTTCTTAAACTGGGTGGAGAAAAAAATGGAAAACCTTCAAGACCTCATTCAAGCAAATGGCAAGAAATCAAAATCCCGTGACTTGATTCTTTCTAACAATGAAACGGGATTGTTTTTACACGTCTTCCTTGTTGGGGTGACTCCATTCACACCATTCTTATAGTTCGTGACCGATTCCAGGCACGTGGTGCGGTCATTCCCTGACTCCCTCCTGATGGCTTATCCAGCGTCTCCCGGGCCCCTGGTCCTCGCTGTTGTTTGGCCCTGGCCTCTTAATATTCCTGAGCAAACGTGAATGGACCACGCGAGGTGTGGAGTGATTCTCTTAACGTTCGCACATATCTGCCTTTCCCTCACTCCAAAGTTACATGGACGTGATTTAGAACACCTTACTTTATAAACCATTAGGGACACACATTGAGACGTGACTGTAATGAAAGCTACATTTTCCTGGGTAATGACGGTCTGCGTTAGGGTCTCACATGAAAAGGGAATGTGGAAGCTCAGGGTTCACATATTGGTTGTTTGGGTTTTATTTGCTTGGTTGTGACTGTAATCATGCCATTCAGAAACCTGAAGAACAGACACATGATATGGTGGTCCGCCCGGGGGCCCTGTGCACCGATCTCCCCGTCCCCAGACTGTGGTCCAGGGCAGACCCCGGTGTGGGTCAGGAGGCTCCATGGGGCCCTGTCCTTTTGGGTGGCATTGTTTCTGGCTTCCCCTATAGGGGATCCCATTGTTGCCTCAGAGAACTTGCTCTTTGGCTCATATCTTGGTGGTTTTCTCCATGGATTGATTTTCCTGTCCTGATGTCTCTAGAGTGTAAGTTCCAGGAGCTCTGCAAGGGAAGGAAGGTCTGTCCATCTTGTCTCTGCTGTATTCTGGCACCTCCGTCCAGTGGCTTTCTGAGAGCTGTCCTCTGGCGCGCTGTGTCAGCAAGTCATCAAAGGAACCAGACTGCATCTCATTCTCCCTTTGACACAATGGAAGGATTTTACTGCTTTTAAGAAACAAGCCTCCTGTGGCCCTTCTACAGCCCCCGTCTTGGGCAGCAGTTCTGTTTGCTTTGGTCCTGTGGCCTGGAGTGTGCATTGCAGGAGTTTTTCATGCTGGGCAGTTGACGTCAGTTGTACGGTCGCTTAGGAAAGTGAACTGGAGACATACATACAGCCTTATGTCAATAAAAATGTCTTGTCACCTTAGTGCTTTCTTCCACAATGTTTTGGGGGTTTACCCCTCTTGAGTTACAGGCTTTGTATGTAGGTGTGTTGTCTCTATACAACCAGGTCTCGTTTCTCTGTCTGCTGCTGAGCAGACACGAACGTGAACAAGCGCCCTGTTCCTGAAGAATAATAGGTTAACGTGTGGTGTCTGATGAGACCTTGTTGAGGAAACAGCCCTCATCTCATGGAAACAGCATGTGAGGCCCTGGGTCTTTGCTGGACAACTTGGCCTGGCTCAGCAGTGACGCAGCCTGACCTTCGCACTGTCCTTTCCAAGCATCCTGCGTGACCTGCAGAGACCTCCCGGGGGGACGGTCACATCACCCCCTACCCAGCTGCTAAGCTGCCGCCATGCTTTCTTGTTGCTCTTCTGTTTGTTAATCGCTGTGTTGCCAGGGCGTCTCCTGTGGAAATCCAGTCGGCTCTGTCTGCCTGGGGGGGCGAGGCAGGCGAGGCGGCGAGACAAGTCGGGTGTCCCCTCCCCTGTGGCCTTTACCTGAGTTTCTCTGACGCTCCCTCTTCCTCCCGACGCTCCGACCTTAACGCCTCCTGTTTCCTCACTGCTCAGATACAGCCCTGCGGGGGGAGAACTGTCGCTCTCCGTCAACAGATGCAGCGGGCGCGGTCTGATGTGGCCTGTGATCTCCCGTATTCTCGTTTCCATCCACTTCTTCGCTCCTCTTTCCTGTTGCGTCACGTCTCCAGTCCTTTTTTGTGCCTAGAATGGTCTCCTCTTCCCCACTGGCCTCCGGGGTCCTGCTGTTCCCAGAAGTTACACAATGTTCAGCTGAGATGGAAATCTGCAGGATGAAGAGTTTAAGTACTCATTGGGTAGAAAAGCCAAGTCACTTCTTTCTCCAGAGCTGTTCTCTTAAACTGATACCATCATTTCTGGAAGGAGCCGGGTCTTTTCTGTCTGGCTGGGGCTCTGTAGGCTGTCAGTGACCAAGATGTGGGGCAGCACCCAGCAAGTACCCAGTGGCCCAACGGGTGGCAGTTTCCACAGCTTTTGAGGGAATGTCACCTTATGTCAGGTCCCTGGGTGACCAGCGTTCTCTGCACAGGGACCCACGTGGTCGTGGGTGCCCGGGCCTCCCCGTGGCAGCACGGAAGCCATGGAGGGCATCCTGGCTGGGCACCGGGGGGCCTGGGGGCCAGCCCTGCCACAGCCTGGTGACAGCACCCTGTCTGTCTCTAGCCGTGGCCCAAAGGTTGAGGAAGCTAGATTTTCCTGGGAAGGACACTGATGAGCTCAGTGCCCCTGGGGCTGACAAGAACCACTTTCTGTGACCCAAAGGTCCTGGTGAGGGCACTGGCAAGGTAAGTGCCCCCAACACCCCAGGCCAGGTCCTCCTCCAGGCCAGGTGGCTGTGCCAGGGCGCAGCAGAAAAGCCTGCCTCCAACCTCCTGAGCAGGCAGCCGGCTGTGAGGCCCAGAGGGTCCCTAAAGCCTGTCGCTCTGTGCCTTGTGCTCCACTCTGGGAATGCTTTCCAGGGCAGGTTGGGCTTCCCAGAGCTCTGACTCCAGGGACTGAGGTCCCCTCCTGTCCCCTCGGCCCCCATCAACAGCAATGCCTGTGCAGAGGACAGGGTGGCGTGGAGGAATTGCTTACAGAAACAGGCTATTTCCACTCGCTTCACAGAATAGAGTCTGTATTGGCAACAGTGACTCTCAGGTAATAATTTCCATTCAAGGAAAAAGCCATTGTGTCCAGTTCACAGACAATAGTCTGAACCTTTGACAAGCACCATTTGATGCTGCCCTGGGAAAGGTGTGCAGGGCTAAGCTCAGCCGTGTAGGTGCCAGTCACTGTGCAGGCGCTGCTCTCCGGAGGCAATCTGTGGCTTACAGGCACATTTGGGACGGTGGAAGAGGTGCCGGCTGCCATGCGCTGGGGTCAGGCTCCTTCGGGTTTCTTTGGAGGCTCTGGCATTCTCTCCTGCTTACACCATCGGATTGCTTGGTGACTACTGTAACAGGAAAAACTTTACCTTCTAAATGTCCATGGCTTTCCCTCCACGTTACGTGGACTGAGGCCACGAGAGCTTCCTGCCACCCCAGCCCTGAGGTACAGTCTCTGGTTGAGGATGTCTCCTCTCCTGCATGCGCTCCTACCAGGGCCTGAGCTGCCAGGCGTCTGGTTCAGGCAGCTCTGGGCTATCCCTGCAGTGGCCACCCCACAGGAGGAGGCTGGGGTGACAGTGCCACTCAGCCAGCCCCTGGGCCCCAGTGGACTCCTCAGGTGGTTAGCTCTCAGCACCCTGGCATCTGCTTCACCAAACATGGCCTTAAGGAGGACACCTTGGCTGGAGGAGCAGGAATAATATTTACGTGATTTTAGGCCCAACCCACAGGCCTCCCTGGGAAGGAGTGACGTTTTCCTACAAACTCAAGGTTGACTGGCTATGCCATTAAATGCGTGGTATGCCTCTGAGCTGGTTGAGGCGACCCGTCTGTCCAGCAGCCGCACGGTGGCCCTGAGCTGTGCCAGGTAGCCTGAGCCTCAGCAGCTGTGTGCAGGAGGGTCAGCACTGGGCAGAAGGTCTCAGTCCTCACCACCCGCTGGCAGAGGGGCTGGTGGCTCCGCCTCTCAGGCAGTGTTGAGCCAATCCCAGCCCTGCCGCGTCTGCGGGGGTGGGGTCGTGTCCTGCAGCCGAGGCCTCTGAGGCTGCAGATCATTTACCCAGGAGGTCCCCTGCCTTTGTTTTACCTAAGAGCTGAGGGCGAGATGGGAAGGGAAGTGGCTGCTGCCAGGCAGAGCCCTGAGTGCCAGGGGCCAGCAGCCAAGCAAGCGATCCAGGAGGTCTTCCAACTGGCTCACCAGAAGTTGTTCTTAACCCCTCACTAGCTGCTCATCAGCCTGATGGTTTGGCGCATGCCCGGGGCTGCGGAGAACCCTGGAGCTGCCTCAGCGCTCCACCAGCCTCGGGCCCGGGAGCCGCCTGACCTCCCAGCGCTGGGGCCTGCCACCTGGTCCAGAACAGCCGCGGGGGTGACAGCGGTTCTGCTTAGTGAAGGGAGTCTGCCCGGCCTTCGGGTGAGGGCTGTGGAGCCTGCAGTCTGTGCTGTGGGTGTCACACGTGCTCCCCACGCACGACCTGCCACCCGGCCAGCCGAGCCACTCCTTCCTGGCCTTTGGGACAGGCGGACCCCCGCCTAGCCAGCCGGGTGGACCACCCTCCCAGCACCCTTGGGTTGCCTGGTGACAGAGCTGCCCATGCGCCTGACAGGCAAGGGTTAACAGAGGGTTTGTTTATTGAATCACAAAGTAGCTGTCACATGATTGTAATGAAAACAGCATTTCCTCAGGACAGTGATGTCAGCTCTGTTACTGCAGGAAGGAGCCGCTGCAGGGGACATTCAGTCTCCAGGCACAACCCCGGTTTGGAGACTAAAATCCGGTGAAGCACCCACAATACTAGTGCAGGCCCCACGTTCCGAATCCACCCCCCACCCCCCCACCATTCTGTGCCCAGTCCTGTCCTGCAGAGACACTGGCCACCCGCCCGGAGTCCTGCCGGGCCTCACCCCTTGCTCCTCTACCTGGTCCTACTTCTGGTTTTCCGGGTTTCCCTCACTTTCTCTGAGCCAGAGTCGTTCGGGCCCCTGGGTCTCTGGCCTCTGCTTCTGGCATGGGTCTCTGGAGTGAGTGGTGTGTGGAAGTCTCCCAGAATGAATGCATTGCAGTCTATTTCCCCCTTTAGTTCTGTTAGTATTTGTTTCCCATATGCTGGTGCTCCTGTGTTGGGTGCATATATCTTTAGAATAGTTATATCCTCTTGTTGGACTGAGCCCTTTATCATTATGTAGTGTCCTTCTTTATCTCTTGTTACTTTCTTTGTTTTGAAGTCTATTTTGTCTGATACTAGTACTGCAACACCTGCTTTTCTCTCCCTGTTGTTTGCATGGAATATCATTTTCCATCCCTTGACTTGTAGTCTGTGCTTGTCTTTGGGTTTGAGGTGAGTCTCTTGTAAGCAGCATAGAGATGGGTCTTGCTTTTTTATCCATTCTATTACTCTGTGTCTTTTGATTGGTGCATTCAGTCCATTTACATTTAGGGTGACGATTGAAAGATATGTATTTATTGTCTGGCATGGGTCTCCCCTCCGTGTTCTAAGCCAGCACTTGCTGGGGGGCAAGCCGCACGAGGTGGGGGCCGCTCTGCAGCTTGGAGCCGGCTTCCTGGGGCAGAAGGGGCCGCTTGTCCTGGCCTGGTCCCTCCTGAGAGTGGGTTGGAGGCCTGAGTGCTGCCCAGGGGTCTCCAGGGCAGTCCTGAGGAGCTTGGCTGGGGATGCCTGCAGGCTGAGAGCCCCTCAAGGGCCAACCTCAGGGCAGGAGGCATTGTTGTCTTGAACCCAGGAAGCCTATGGGAGGCCCAAGTCCAGTCTGACAGGACTGACCCCTCGGGGATCAGAGCCCAGGGGCATCAGCAGTGGGTGGCTGCAGGCCACTGGAGCAGTGTTCCCAGCTCTGGCCTCTTGGCTCCTCCACTGCGGAGGCTTGGGGGCTGAGCAACCACCGCAGAGAAGGACCCCCAGGCCCTCCGACCCTTCCGCACCTCGGAGCTTGGCCTAAATGTTGGAGATGGATGAAAAAGGCCTCCTTCTGGGTGGGACATGGATTCTCACAGATGTTCTTGTCTGTGGTATCCAGGGCTGGTGCTGCCCAGAACTTACCACTGGAAATGAAATCCTTGGCAACATTCTTTTTTCTTAACTTGGAGCAGGTGCTCAGAACACAGCAACCACCCTTAAATCTGTGGGGAAACTTCCCAGACATATAACAGAATTTTTCATGTCTGTAGTTGGGACAGTTGAGTTAAATGGAAGACAGGACTATGACAAACCAGCAAGGGGAGTTGGCAGTCTCCTGGGGCCTTTCTCGTGAGGTCAGTGTTACGCCAGGCTGCATTTGAACCTCACATAGACCTGGGAGTTAAGTCAGCCAGTCTGTGTCCCCAGGTTGCCATCGGGGACAAGCTTTTGCAGTGATTTGCCCAGGTTAGTGGCTGGGTGGGCGTGGTACCAGGGGCTGCCTCCTGAGCATCCTGGCAGAAGGCAGGCGGGGGGGAAGAAGCTGTTCCCCCAGCCTTGTTCCTGATCAGGCCCTGCTTGCCTGGCCTTTCAAACATGGGGCCTCCTCCAATAGCCGGCCTGCCCTTTGGTCCTGTTTGCTGGCACAGGAACCTCGCTAAACATTTGTGCTTCTCTAGGGAGGGAGTTGTGGTGGGTCCCAGACTACAGAGCTGGCTGGGGCTGTGAACTCAGGGTCCTTCTAGGGGAGGCCTTGGGGGATTTTCCTCAGTTCATTTGCAGGCCACTGCCCAACTAGGGGGGCTGGCCCCAGCCTGGTAATAGACTTATCCCTGAGGGTGAGGCCTCTTTGGGCATCTCAGGCCCTGCCACTCCCTCCTTGTATTTGAGGAGTGCGGAGAGAGATCAAGTCAGAACCCTTGAGGCCTGCCTGACAAGGGAGGTGAGTGAGTCTCTCTTTGAGAGGCCAAATCCCCATTTCTCTGGGCTTTCTGAGCTTTCTGCTCTACCAGCTCCTGGAGGCTCAGCAGCAGGGGCATCTGCTTCCCACGGTGCTGTGTTCTCTCGCTCCCCACCCCGTCTGTGCTCTGCCTGGGCTGCAGACCTTTCTGCCAGCTCAGACTGGCTTGGAGCCCGCCGTGCGAAGTCCCTTCAAGGCTTATACAAAGGGAGGTATCGATGCTGCCCAGGTGGACTGGTCCAGACGAATCGGCTGCACTGGTGGGCTGGGAAGTCTGCTCCAGGAAGGCTGGAGTGTCATTGGCTGGAGACCAGCTCCCTGTGCTGCCTGACCCGGCTTCTGGGTTTTGCCTCTGGGTTTCTGGGCATAGTTTCATGTTCAGTAGAGGCCCACATGCCAGTGATGGCTGGTGTTTGAGTTGAGGGTCCAACTCCTCCACATCAAGACTCACATCTGCCTCTCAAGGGACATTACAAAGAATGAGCCATGTGCAATAGTCCCTCCCTCCAGAGCTGCTCTGCCTTATCATTTGTTTGAAGCGGCAGTAGTCGCTGGGCTGGAGAGGGACAGAGCCATGCTCTCTTCAGCCCCCAGGACAGAGTCGCTGTCTGTGCGCGTGACATTTTTGTTGTAGCTGCAACTACGTGGCACTCAGGTTTAGTGCATGAAGCCCAGAACTTCCTCCCACAGTGTTCTGGGGCTGCAGGCTGAGCAAGGGGCCCGCTCACCTGGGCCTGCCTGGGGAGGGATTGGAACACACTCAGCAGGAGGGTTCCCACAAGAACTGGAACTCCGAAGCACATGCAGTGTGGGTGGAGGCACAAGTGGTCTTCATAAATCAGGGCTTAGAAGCCCTTTGAGCCCCATGACTGGGCCTTGGTGCGGGGGTCCAGGAACCAACTCCTCCCTGAAGTGATCTGTCCAAAGTTGTATGTCTCTGTATGTTTCCTGGGAAGAAGACCAGCTTTTAGCAGCAGGTCAAAGGGATCTGTGAAGCCTCCGAGAGCAGGTGGGTAGAAAGGAGCAGATGGCCCCACACAGGACCTGTGCCCCTGCCCGGCCTGGGCGGGGCCCTGACTCGTGATGGAGGTGGGCTCTGCCAGCAGACCGCAGACACTGGGGCCATCTCCCTGGCCCCACTCTCCCCCTCCCCACTGTGCTGAGCCTCTGGCTCACAGTCAGCAGAACCGAAGGACGTTCTGGAGAACGTGGAGGCCGGCAGCCTGACTGGCTGCTGAAGTCCTGGCCAAGTTCTGCTTACAGGTCCATTATTTTTGCCTATACCCTTGAACACTGGTTGTTTTGGCAACACAAAGTAGACAAAACGGAGAAATTGGCGGGAAAGGGGAAAGTCTGCAGAACATTGTGACTGAAATTGAGTGCTTTCCTTTAAAAACAGCAGTAGAAACTCAGGGTTACTGAGTTCTTGGGTAGCCCAACAGGGGGAACAGGGGTCTCCGGTTAGGACTGAGAGCCTGTGGGTGGTACAGGCAGAGGGCAAGTCCGCAGGGAGGGCTCTGTCCTCTCGCACCCCTCCCAGCCCCACCGCTGCGGCCAGTAAAGGAGCCGTTAGTGCGGGATGCTCTCTGTGTCTGTTACATAGCATGGCTCAGTGGGAATGGTTTGAGTGAAACCAAATCTCTGTTGAACTTGCTGCCAGGAAGTAGGATTTAAAACTGCCCTTTCCCTCAGGTCTGGCTAACAGGTCGGAGTGGCTGACGGGTGAGGGTAGAGTCCCCAGTGCCTCCACAGATGGAGCCTTCTGGCTCCCAGGGGTACTGCACTCGTGCCTGTTGCTGTGAGGGGGTCTGCTGTCCGCGCGGGGGTAGAGGCCTTTGCAGGCCCTGGGAAAGGTGTGCCACAGTGGGTGGGCCGTGTGTCACTGGCCCACCTGATGCCCTGCAGCTGGCTTGTCCTCAGGGAGCCCCCTGAACCTGCCTCCCTCCTCCTTCTGCTGCCCAACCAGCTCAAAAATCCAGGAGCACCGGGCAGCACGTAGCCCAGCCTTGTTCACATGCAGGCTGCGGTCAGCAGTGCCTGTCAGCTGTCTGGCAGCTCACGTGTACTCGGGTGACTTCAGAGCAAGGTATTACTTACCCAGCTGACGTCAGAGAACATATGACCCGCTGTCCTTGCCTGCGGCCTGAAGTGAGCACTGGGGCTCAGGGCACTTGGCCACCTAACGTACTTTAAAAATCCCACCCGAAGCCTGTTGAGGTGCAGGCCCTACCTCACCCACCTGACATACTTATCACCCCGGCTCATAGAAAAGTTGTTTTTATTTTAATTCAAGAGGGTTGGAAACATAGAAAACAGTACATTTTCTCTCCAGAAGCTTACCCCCACTTAAATTGCCATTTGATACAAAGATCATTTATTAAACTGCATGTAGGCAATTTTCAAACATTGAGTGACAGGTTACATTTTGATTTTTTCACATTGGAGCTATTATGATTTGCACGCAAAATACCAAAGCTATTGAGCTCACCATTTTTTTCTTAGTAATTAAATAACACATAGGAAAAATAACTACGGTCAGATCAACCTTATCAAAAGTGACTCTTAAACAAACCAAACATCCAGGAAGACCACCCTTCTCCCTTTAGAAATAAGCAATCTTGCCTTTTCTGCAAAGTGCTAGTATCTCTTGTCACTTTTATTTCTGAAGTCCCCCAAAAGAGGCAAGCCTTTACTCTCTGCTTCTGTTCCTTCAGAGGGTGGAGGCAGATTTATTTTACCATTAGCAGTGGGAAGGTGTTGCCACTTGAGTTTCCGTGACGGAGCAAACCCTAAGCTGATACTCATCACTGCCAGCGGCAAGTCCTGGTCATCGGCACTTGCTGATGGAATGTCATTCCATCTGGGGTCATATTTTTCCAGGATGTTACTTTGTAATTTTATTTTTAAAGCTCCCCTACCTACCCACTTTACCAAAGATGAAGCACATTACTTCTTTAACCCTGAACATGTCTCATCAGCCCTTCTACTCGATGGGCCTCAACTACCCAGAGGCACCCAGCCCCTCCTCAGGACCAGGCCAAGTTTGTGATTCTTCCCAAGCAGCCCTTGGTGTTGAGCTGTCAGCCTGTGGTGGTGGCCAAAGCTGTGCATTTGGCCCCTTGGTGATGTAGGAAGTGTGTGTCCTACTGTGAACTTCTGTAGAAAATTACTTCATAAATTGGGGAAACTAGACATTTTTGGTGCTAACCTAAACTTCTGTAGTTAACTGGACACTGGAAAGATGGCTACTTGTGGGTCTGTGTCTCCCTTGGCCTCGCTTGTGCAGGGCCACCTGGACTCCATCTATCACTTGGAAGGCACCTCTCCCCAAAGCCAGGCAGCTGTCAAGTGGAGAATGAGGCTGTGGGGACAGTATCACATTCACCCAGTGCTTAACCCAGATGGGGACTTTGTCTATGTAGCTGCTTGCTCATGAGAAGGGTCGCCTGCTGAGGGAAAGTGTGCAGTGAGGCCCAGCAGCACGAAGCCACGCCAAGGCTTGGGAGCTGAGGGCCGTGCCTGCCTGGCTCCGTCAGAGTACTATTGTGAGGGTTAGAAAAAAAGAGCATCCTTGTGAGGTGTGTGCCTGTGAACACAGTTAACTGCTGCCCCCCCACACCCCCCCAGACAGGAACCATGTGGAGGCTGTCAGTCTGCAGAGGCAGGTGCCCAGCTCCACCACACATGGACACAGGAAGACGGTATGACGAGGGTGTCTGTGGCTGTGTGTTCCCTGGAATCAACCCGGCTACCTTAATGGGGAAAATGTGGCCACACGGGGGGGCACTGCGAGACCAGACTCCGGGGCCCCTAAAAGCTTCGCAAGGCTGGCCTTGTTCTTCCTGCCATCTAGGTCTGTGGGCCCAGAGTGTGCTTCTAACGTCGCTCCCCTGGGGCCACATGGGCTGAATTTGTCAGAAGGGACACCAACACTTTAAAAAACGTGCTTTGGTCTGGTTTAGAGACAGAGGCAAATACTGATCTGTCTTTCCACACATCATTCTGAAGATAAGTTGTGTAAAAAATTTCCAGAAGCAACGAAATGATCAAAGACCCCTACCTAGACAGTGACTCTAACTTACCACCTGTTCTCCAGTTTTTACCTTTGATGTCTAGGCACAAAAGAGACAGAGCAGCTCAGGTGGCTTCCGAGGAGGCAGTAGAGGTTGCCCGGTCTAGGGGTACATATGCGGCCCCTGTCAGCCCCGGCACAGGGACTGCACACTGTTCTCTGGCACCAGTGTTGGCAGATGACACTACGTGTCGTCTCTAGAGGAGGAGGAATGTGCAAGCCTTAGCTGCAGCCTGGATATTCGCTGAGCCACTGGGAAGCTGAGATGTGACCATTGATCGGGGTTTTTGAATGTCATACAGAGCTGAAAACTCCAACTCCAACACAGAACCTCACATTTAAGTACCTGGGGCTTGACTAGAGATCAGAGGACCCCCAAAGGAAGCCACTCACTGCCTCGTGTCTGCGTCTGCCTGCCCCAGCCCGCCCTAACCATGAGCTGACGTTTTTCACCCAGTCACTGAGCCACACCCTTCTTCCAGCTCTAAGCATCAGGTGGGGTTCCTTCCTGAGCCCCGTGGTTTAGGCACTGACTGTGGGAGGGAGAGGCTGGGGCCCTAGGTCCCTTCTGCAGAGGCCCTGTGCTAGGTGGAGGGTGGTGCTCCCGTGGGTGCTCCCCCTGCCCCAGCACTGCGGGACTCTGAGGTGCAGGCTGGCTTTGGGCCCACCAGTTAGGACACAGCTGAAGTACAGGTGCTTCTTTATTTCTGAGGAAGAAAGGGACTCAGACTTCCTCCTCCTTTTGGGAAAGCAAGGGAAGAAACGTGCCAGAGCAAAGGTCTCGGTTCTGCTTGGTGGGCCCACTGTGTCCCATGAAGTGGCTGAAGGGAAGGTGGTGGAGGTGCAGAGAACCACCAAGGTGGCAAGAGGGCCGTGTAGGCCTGGGAGGGGCTGAAGAGGCAGCTGGGGACTCAGTGCAGCTCCCTGGGAACTTAGGGATGGGCCAACCACCCCTGCTGCTGTTGACTCACTCCATTTGCTTTACAGGGGCCAGCATATCAGTTGCATGCAAATTCTAGAGACACATTCGCACAGCTGGAAATTGCAGAATTAGTGCATTTTTCCCAAAGCAGAGACTAATGTCCCTGGATTAAAAAAGAATGTAAAAAATAAAGTAACACACATATTGCACTTCTTGCTGAATGAAATTTTTACCTCACGTTCATCTCACCAAAGTAGGAGCCTGGTTTACAGGATAGGAAAGCTAACGATCACTCTACAGTAGTGCACACACTGCTGTAGGAAACAGACTGGAAAGAGGACATGATTTCAGAGCAGCCTCCCATGGGCAGAGCAATGAGCAGACAGGGCTGGGGATCAGCGACTGGCCACACAGCCTCCTCCCACCTGCTTACATTCAATAAACAGTTAAGGGTTTACCGATTTCTGTTGGAGACGAGTGAGGAAAGCAAAAAGGAGCCCGCTGGGCGCATTTCTAAACGCCCAGCCAATCACCCCGTGAGTGCCCACCCGCTAGTTAGGGTTCCTGGCAGACACGGCCCCTCCAAGTGCGTCCAACGTCTGCCTCTCTGCCCTCTCATGCTGTCCCTCCCCTGTTGGCCTTAACATTCCCTCCACAGCTCCAAGGCTTCCTGGGCACAGTGGCTCGTGGCCTTGTGGTGGGGGCAGGTGTTTGTGCCAGCCTGCAACTGGGCCACTCCTGGCACCCTGAAATGAGTGGCCCCCATTTTCAATCTGGAAAGCATTTTAATAAATATTACAGCACTTCTCTAGTATATTTTGGGAAAACATACTGCAGTCTAAGCAAATCAATCCATTTTATAACTGACTTATTTTGCAAAGACTCAGATCAGATCAGAGATCTTAATGAGAGGATCTCTTAAATGTCTATTTCGCGAACCATCAGTCTTGCGCAGGAGGAGGAATAAATGCATAGACAGAACATAATTCATTCTTCCTGGGTTTCACGAGCACAATTAGATCACACGACAGTCCTGTGTGCTACCCCTTCTTGCTGACACCCCGTATCCGGACCCAGGCAGAGGGCCTCTGCGAAGGCTTTGGTGCCAACTGGAGCCCACAGCTGGGGCTGCTTGGTGCCGATGCCAGCAGGGCTGGGCTTGGCTGGGCAGGACCGCACTCCGACCTTCCACGCTGTCCTCAACTGCCTGAACACTTACTATGAAGAGGAAGGCAACATAAAGGTGTTTTCTAGATGCAGCATCAGTGTATTATTATCTCTGTCCTTTGTGCTTTATGCATTCACCAGCTGAAAGGCCAAGCCGTTCTAAAGGACAGCAGGTAGAGTTTTTAACTAATACTGAATTTGTAACACTCGGACGTTACTGTGCAAACAACTGATCACTCATCACTTCTAGGTATACTGTTAATTAGCTGTGGCATCTGTTTTTTACTCTGATGAATGAATTGTAAGGTTTAAGTTTTACTAGTAATATAACGTGTTTGGCAGATGATCTGCTTGAATGGTTAACACATCTGTGGTTTCTGAATATTGCTGAAATACTTGAACATTTCATTACAAGTCAAGACTTTAAGGAAATTAACAATGTGATTCCCACATGGTGGAAAACAAACTCTGAAGTGACTTTGGATTTAGCATCAACATAAATGGAAAACTTGGTTTCTACAGGAAAGAAAAGAATTAGCACGATCTGGGGGTGAAGGCACAGCACTACAGCCCACACGGGAGATGAAAGTCACTCTTCTTTGTCCTTAAAATTTCCAAGCCCTATAGGAAACTGTCCAGATACACAAAGCGCAGTAAACTACTAGCAACGTAAAGGTGTAAAGTCAAAGTAGTTATTACATTTTAAGAGACGCGAGGCCCTCTAAAGACCAGCCGCCCCAACCCGGAAGTCCCCACAGAATGTGCGGGAGGTGCTCGCCTCCCCCACCAGGGCTGGTGCTCCTGAGGGTTCTCGGGTTCTGCCCCAGCCCCCAAGGTTGGGGGCCTCTTGGTTCTACAGGCGACATCGTTGGAGCACTGAGTGCACGGACTCTGAATCCAGGGAGCCTTCCGAAGAAGAAGGCATGTTGCCCGCTCCCAGAGCCGTGGCTGCCTGCTGTTACTTCATGGCTCCTGAAACAAATTCCGTGCTCCACTTTCCTTGGGTGGTCACGGGGACAACTTGCACCAGCAGCTTAGAACTTAGGATTCAACGACAGAGAACAACTTTATTTCCTGTGTATCTGATTTCACTGTGAATTCTTGACTGACTGTTTGGCTTCCATGAAAAATATATTGCCTTTTTTTTGCCCATACATACTGCACACATTTTTTTTCCCTGCTTCCAACAAGGTTTTCCTCAGTAATGAGCTGGTGCAGTTCTGCAGAAAACTCGGTCTGGATGTCTTTTTGGCAGAACTTTCATCCGTGTCTTGCTCCCCCTGACCTAAGGGCGTGAGCTTCAGCCTACTACTACATCCCAGCACCTGCCACAGAGAACTGGTGGGACAGAGGCAGGAGGAATCGGCATCCACCTGGCCAGGCCCTGATTCCATTTGGGCGACTTCATTTTTCTCCTCTAGGGAGAGGGCAGGAAAATAAGCTTTACATTTAAAAGGCTGGAATAAAAATAGGAATACACACTCTTCCTTCACTTGACCCACCTCACTTCCTGTGCTCAGGTTAATTGACCAGGACGTAGCCACTGTGCTGTGGGTCCACAGCCTCCAGCATTTCACAATCAAAGAGTCCCGGAAACTCGGAGAGGGCTAGGGGGTCATAGCTGGAGGGGGCCTCCTGCAGTCCTGAGCCCCTGGGAGTGTCCGGCACAGCTACGCCACTCTGCTGGGCCCCATCCATGTGGTACTGACAGGGAGCCGGATAGTCTGGCTCAGAGGAGGCGGCATCTGGCAGCGCACAAGTCTGATAGGAGAACTGCGGGGCTGTGAGAGCAGCCGCCGACTGTGGCGGTGGCTGTGACCGCAAGGGCAGTGGAGGAGGAGCCCGGGGGCCTGGCGAGGAGGGCAGCGGCTGCAGCCGCATCTCCTGGTAAGGGCTGAGGAAGGGGCTGCACTGCATCTGCTCCGATGGGGGCTCCAGGACGGGGCCGAGGGGCTGGGTCAGGCTGAATGGTGGGGGCCGCGGTGCTGCTGGTGGCTCCTGGCGAGGGAGGGGCAGCTGCTGGCTCGGCTGTGGGTACGGGCCCTCTGCTATCTGCATCTGATTGAAATACGCCTGCAGCTGATTCTGCTTCTGCAGGAAGAGTCGTTTCTGTTGGAGTCTGAATTGGCAACAGCGAAAGAAAGAAGTTCAGGTCTTCCTCAGTGATGACAGTTTTAATCAGTCGCTAGCTTCAGTTCTCCCACGCTCTTTCCCATGGCAGAAAAACGTGGGGGAAGGAACCAGTTATGTCTGGTTTCTTAAAGCTAATCTTACTTTTGTCCCTCAGTTTGGACAGAGTGCCCCCTCGGTGCGAAAGCGAACACTCCTCTGTCTTCTCTAAGACTCCTGAGCTTTCCTCCCTGTGGGGCTGGCTGCCTGCTGTGTTCTGTAGAGGCCACCCCACGGCTCTGCTGTTTGCAGGCTGGTGGCTCAGGGTGGCTCTACCTTGGCCAAGCTGCTGCTGCGCGTGAGGCCTGGGGGCATGGCTGCCTGCTCTGGGGTGGAGGCGGGCGGCCTCTGCAGTGTGACCTGCTTGACCTGCAGCAGGTCACCGGTCCTGAAAGCTTAGGTCTGTTCATAACCCAGAGGGGACCCCACACCAGAGAGAAAGGAAGACAAGGCCCATATTCCATGGACCCTGAAAGAACCACATTAGCGATCATGTCTTGAAACGTGTTTTCCCAGGAGAGGCCTACGCTGGGGAGAGAGCAGTGCACCCAGCATTCTGAGGCCTTCCACAAAGAAAGTGACTTTGGCTAAAGACCCTCTCACCTGTGTTCCTGCAGCCGTTGTTCAAGGCTCCGTGGAGGTTCTTTACAGTAAAGCTGACAGGTGTTCTGAGCTTTAGACAGAAGGCTGGGCTTCTGGAAGAGCAGAAAAATAATACAAGCATAACACTGTGTTGTCACCCAGGATGCAGTCACCAGACTACCTGCCTGGAAGATGAAGCCACAGGTATCCTTCAGGGTCTGTGAGACTCAGGTGGAACCTGTGGCCCAAAGCACAGGTCAGCAGGCCTGGGCTGTCTCAGCTCTAACCTCCTCCAGTTTTCCATTTCTAAAAGTCCTCTAGGACCATGAGGTTCATGGAGACTAAAAACAATGAAAAAAGTGGAGCTCAGTCTTGACAGCTAAGGGTGCAATGCAGCACCTGCTGAATGAACGAATTATTTATGGTATCTATGTTGTATCATTTTTAAGGATTTTCAGGCACCAATGTAGAAAGCCCGATATTAAAATTTTGCTGACTTCAGATTTCCATTTTAATACTCATTGAGAGGCTCATATTAGAAGCAAAAAAAGTCAGGTTCCCTTTCCTATCACTCAGTGGGTTATTCTTTCCTGGGGCTTGAGGATAAATCCTTTTCCTTGGCTAGGACACAGACCATTCAGCTAAGTCTGAACATGTTTCTAGAAACTGCCGGTGCTGAGTTAAATAATCAAGCAGCTACCCTAAAAATCACCCAGCAAAGCAGGCCTCTGCTGCTCAGAAAGGTAGATTCTGGACGAGCAGTGAGGTGAGGCATGGAGAGAGGGTCCCCACCTGGAGTCTATGCTGCAGGTACTGGGCCTCCAGACTTTGCCGCTGGGCAAGCTGAGCATGCACACTGCTGGGGAGAGCCGAGACACTTTTCTGCTGCTGGGAAACTTCCTCCTGAGAAGCAAGGGGTGAAAACATTTTCAATTCTCCATGTGGGAGAGAGTTTCAATTCTTAGTTTAAGCACCTTGGCAAATCTCCAAGAGGAACTCCAACTCTGTAAGACTTAATGCTCAAAGCTTTTTACATAGTAGGCTGAGGGTTAATCATTCTGCAGAAAGTGTATACGTGTATCTGCAGAAAACAATTACCTAGTCAGGACTGGAGCAAAGGCTTCTGATGTCACCAGGGGGCCATTACCTTCATGCGGGCATCAAACACTGCAATAACCCGAATGCACCGAGAACGGGCTGGAAGTAAATTTTACTGGATAAATAGCAACCTGTTATGCTATTTGTTTTTAGCATAAATAACCCAGTTATAATATTTAACAAAGTGCTGTCACATCAAGAGCAGTGGCAGCGCGCCTCCCACTTGTGTGAAGTTCATTATTCTTGATCACCATGTGGGGTGGGGAGGCAAGTGCAAGGGGTCCTCTAGCAGGAAATCCATATGAAGGCTGCCCTGTGAAGCAGACACAGCTGGACAGTGTCCAGGCCTCCATGTGGCACCATTAACCTGTGGCCTGCGTGGATGGGCCTAACCTGTCAGTGGCAGCTGACAGCAACAGAGAAAGCTTCCAGGCTGTGGGCTTTCCAAAAGAACCTGTTTGCTCTAAGACTGGAGGAGGTTCTCTAAATGAAGTGCCACGTATTCAGGACAGACCCATGACTCACACGCACAGAGCTGCAATGGAAGGGGCCCCGAGCACCCACCTGAGGGCAGCTGCCAGCAAGGTCTTGGAGCTGAGAAGCAGCTGATGCCAAGGTAGGGTCTGCCTCTGATCCTATTTGTTCATATAACAACTGTACTTTGTTCAGCTCTAGGATTCCTTTGGTTCTAGCCAGATTCTGCAGATGTTGCCTAAAAGCTACAATTCCTAAAAGAAAGAACAGTGGCCAGTTTAGGTCTCACTATGCCTTTCAGTGACCACAGGTGTGAAACCAACATGGCCACAAACTCCATCAAGTCCTGCAATATAGTCTCAAATGCCAGGAGAGACAGCAGCTCACCTTGGGTGAGGGAAGTGTCCGAGGCCCTGCGGCCCTCTCTGAAGCTCACAGGCGACCTGTTGTGGGCCTCTCGTTTCTGAGAGCTCAAAGCCTGCATGGCTGGGTTGGCAGGTCTCAGGCTTACGAAGGGTGACGTCATGCGTGGCGATGGCTGATTTGCTAACAGGAGGTCCTTCAGGGAAGGGTTGTCCTCCAGGAAGTTCAGGTCCCTCCCCATGTCATACTCAGAGTCTACACTGTCAAGGGAGGTGTTCTCACTCATGGAGAAAATTTTCCCTTTAAGAGAAAAAAAAATGAATGGACGGGGTATGACCAACAGCAAATAGCATCTTTGAACATGGGATACAAAGCATAACCAACTTGAGAGTTCAGAGCTACAACACCCTTAATCTCCAACTGGAACATATTCTAGAGCCTTTTTACATGTTCATTTAGTCAGCTTCACTTTTTTTCTTTTTTTTTTCCAGCTTCACTTTTAGTGGGGAAAGCGCTGCAGGACCTGTGACCCTAAGGTCTTTGCCACTGCAAGGGCCAGACCGAAGCATCACATGGCGCCCAGTGCACCCCGGGACCAGGGCAGCCGACTCACACCTCTCATCTGGTCTCTTGGCTGCTGAGCAGGTCTGATCCTACAGTGCGCTGAGGGTGTTCATAAAGGAACAGACACAGGCTGCCTTCCAAGAACTGTCTGGTACCATTCCTACTTCTCAGAGACTGGAGTGTGCCTTGATGCTGTGGAGACAGAGGCCGCAGCTTACCATGCATCATACCTGAACCAGGGATCGCGACCAGCTGATCCGTCACCTCTGAGAGTGTGTGCCGCCTCTGCCCGCTGCGTGTGGACTGGAGTGCACCAAAAGCCTGGCTGGGGTCTTCCTCGGCCACTCCCTCTGTCTCCAGCCCTTCATCGATGGAGGTCTCCATCACATTGCTGGGCAACGACTGGCAGCCCTTTCTCACCAGGACAGGAGGCACGGGGTCCAGCAGACAGCCATTTACCTGAATGTCAGGGTGAGAGGGTGTGTGAGGGAGACTATTAGTCGCTGCACTGCTGAGATGCTAGAAAAACACACAAACGAAAAAAGTGTCAAGGCCTGTGGCTAAAACAAAGCAAAATATACACATTTATCACTAATGACAACACGCAGGTTAGATGTTAAGGCAAGTGAGCTGCAGCTCTGGGGACAGATGCCCATGGCGACCTAGCCTGGCACTGTGTCCAGGTTCCCCTCAGCCTCTCTGCAGTGGTTTCCAGGTGAACAGGGCCATAGTAGCTTGAGGCCAACCAGTTTTTTTTTTTTTTAAATAAGGGAAACAAAGAGGGGAAGATGAGATTTAACAAAACAAACTGGCTCACAGCTTTGAAAGGCGTAGCCGCCAGCATTCTTGTGACCTCCAACCACAAAACGTACTGGGAGGTTCTGGATGTACTTTTATGCTCCTAAATTAGCATAATGGTACCTGTCCATTTGATTTAGCCTTTAATTGGTTCTGTGTGCCTAGTGAATGGAAAAAAGAATTCTTTAAAGACAGGCTGGTACCACAAAGGGGACTGAAGAAAGAACGCACACAGCCAACAGCCCAAGCCTTTCATTATAGGATAACTAATACCTCACAGACCCCGAATCCCAGCAGAGGCTAGTGAGCACCGTGCACAAATTCCCTCTCCAGCAGTGCACACAATGGCTTGTTGTTCTACCCCACAGGGGCTCACAGCTCCCCAGCGAGAGCGCTGCCTTCCTTTGCAGTTGCCAAGCAGACCACTTACTGGCAGGCGGAAACAGCAGCCGGGGGAGCTGTGGTTGCAGGTTCTTCTGGCTGGTAAAAGTCCCAATGAGGAAGCAATTATTTACCTCATCACCCAAACTATTCCCCCATGGGATTGTTGGGTTTTCTCCTGTGAAAAGCTGCTCAGGAATGGCTGGTCATAAGCGCTGAGCTCTGCACAGTGCTTCACCTGGAATACACTGGGTAGAGCTATTGTTGCCCCTGGGAGCAAAACTCGTGTTGTGAGAGGTGACGTGGGACATCACTGGGCTGTGCCAGACACAGGGAACTTATGGTGTCTCTTATGGTAAATGGTAACCACTCTGAAGGTGCTGCGAGGCCCTTTATTTGAGAAGAAGATGTGGGTGACTCAGATCTTTGTTTGCTTGGGGAAGGGGGTAGTTATTGCATGAAAACTGTTCTGGGGCTGTAGACATTACTAGGGGACATTACTAGGTGGCTGATGCATCCAGGGATTTAAACTGGCAAGTGGTCACTTAAAAGGGAGAGTGGAAATGCTTTCTTCCTAGATGAACACCAGTCTTCCCCATGGCAGCGGAAACCAAAAGCTCTGAAATCTGGCCAGCAACTCTGACAGTCCCCTTGGCCCGGCCCCTCCCTGGGGAGGGTTCCCATGTGACCACACTCCAGTTTTCTTGTAGGAAAGAATCGCTGTTTGGGAACTTTTATTCATACCTCTAGGTTCCTTAACTGTCCATTAACACAATTTCTAAGACTAGCAAGAGATGATTTAGAAATGGATAAAGAATAGAGTGCTATTCAGTAAACATCTGAACACCTTCACACTTACAGCTTATGTCAGCTTATTTTCAGGTATTTCTTGCCTGGTTGTAATTATAGCCTTACAACCAGGTTCTTTTTTCCTAACAGAGAAAAGTCGCCTTTTTTTTGGAGTACTCATAAACCTTGCAGTCCCTCTAAACTCACAACATTTTCTTAAATTGTCTGCTTATAAATTAACTACTTTATCCAGACTATAAGAAGAATTAAAACCTTTCACTTAAAAATGCTTGCAGAATTCAGTTTCATCTTGGGACAGGTAGGAAACAGTGATCTGGTTTTTCAGATGCTGCCTGGTGACCAATCAGAATGCACTGTGGGCCAGTGCTGCTGTGGATTACAGGCCTTCAGAATACAACCTCAGTGAGATTCACACCAAATACATTTTTTTTGTCTTAAAGTTCAGCTGATCAAAGACCTCATATGCGACAGGTGTAAACGTGTAAGACTTAAACTCTCAGAAAGTCTACCAGCAACTGGCGACACCCTAAGCCTGCCACAGATACGAAATTCTGGCACAGGAGACTGGGAGACTGACGTGGACAGCATAAATTCACATACTGGAGCCCTAACTGCAGTGTGGCTGTGTTCAGACCTGGGACAACTAAGGAAGTGTAGTTAAAAGAGGGTAAAGGGGTGGGGCCCTGAGCCAGCAGGATTTGTGTCCTTACAAGAAGAGATGCTGGGAAGCATGCCTCCTCCCCACCAGAGCAGAGGGGACCAGCCCAGGGAGAGCGTACTGAGAAGGTGGCCCTCTAAAAAGCTAGGAAGAGAGTCAAACTGGTCAGAAACCCTCATCCTGAACTTGAGCCTCCAGACCTGTGAGAAAGTGTTTCTGCTGTTTAAGCCTCTAGCTTGTGGTGCCTGGTTATGGCAGCTAAGCAGACTAAGAGAGCCGAGCCATGTACAACGGCAGCCAGTGAGCCTGCGGGCCTGGCATGTGCCTCATTTAATTTGTACCCCAAGTGCCTGGCTGTTTGGCATATATATATTGAGAAGGTGCCGCTCAAATGTTAGTTTCATCTTTTATTATAAGCAAGTTGCTTAACTTCTATAAGGCTCAATTCTTTTCACTTGTAAAATGGGAATGAAGTTATTTGGGAGGATTAACTAAAATAGTGAATCTTATTATTATTATTTCTTGACCAAAGAGAATCCTTTATAACAACAAAAATTTTTAAAGCATGAGAATAAAACTATTTTCTTTTAAAGCATTTTTACAATTTTTCACCAAAATAAATGAATAACCAGGTGAGGAAGGAAAAAACTGGGGAACCCAAGTTCCAGAAATAGATTCAAAGGTAATAATCAGAGGTATAGTCAAAGATTTAGGCACAAGGATATTCACCTGAAGCACATAAAGGATGCAAAAAAAATTAAAGTACCTGATGTCCAAAAATAGGAGAGGAGGTAAATAAGGGAACACCTAATACAACATATTGACAGTTGTTAAATATAACTCCTACCTTTGAGGAAGATTTCATGATATGGGAAAAACCTCATATTATATTATGCAAAAAAGCAAGGTACAAAATTACATTTAATAGAATATAGTTTTGTCTTAACAATTCTACATAACTGAGCTACCCTATACTCATTCACCCACCCACCAATCCATCTATAACCCACTGTAAGGAAACATCCCAAAACACGCTTATCTTTGGGTAGTGGGATTATGGCTAAGTTAAATTTGTCTTTCTCTCTCTCTGAATTTTCCATGTGTGATTCTGACTGGTTTGATTTTTTTAAATTATCAATTAAAAAAATCAAACTCAAATAAAAGGACAATTTCTCCCCTTTATAAATAAAGCCTTAGAGTTAACACCAGTATGAGTTTTGATGTATATCATTTTCAGACCATCTCTTACATGTACAACCTTTATAATAAAGATATAAAAAACGTGAACAGAAACGGGACACCTCTACTACACTTGCATTTTCACAGTTTAGCCTCACAGTTCCCTGCTGATAAATAGTTACAAAGGTGTTAACGTGGGACATCCTTTTATTATAATCTCTAATAAAATGATAAAAGAGACTGAGATGTATGTGTGTATACAATTCATTATTCCCATATCTGAAGATAACAAAAACACTAATTTGAATAGGTACCTGCACCCCCAGGTTCACTGCATTATTCACACCAGCCATGACATGGAAACAGCCTAAGCAACTGTCAATGACTGAGTGGATAAAGATGTGGTACATGTAGCCAGTGGAATATTACTCAGCTAAAAAAAACCCCCAAGGAAATCCTACCATTTGTGACAACATGGATGGCCCTTGCAGGCATTATGCTAACTGAAACAGTTCAGAAAGAGAAAGACAAAGACTGTATGATCGCTTCGTCATATGGAATCTAGAAACAAAAAGACTCTCAGAAAAAGAGATCAGACTTGGGGTTACCCGAGGTAGGGGGTCAGGGAGGAGGAATTGGAGGAAGGTGGCCAAGGCACAAACGTCCAGTTGTAAGATGAGCAGTAGAATGTGCTGTGCGACTTGACGGCTGTTAGCTGAGAGCATTCCCGTAGGACATACAAGGGAGTTAAGAGTAAATATTTAGAGTTTTTGTCACAAGGAGAAAAAAATGCTTTTCTTTTTTTCTTTTCTCCTTTCCTTGTATCTATATTAGAAGATGGCTGTTAGCTGAACCTACTGTGGGAATCATTTCACAGTGTATTTAAATCAAACCATCCTGCTGTACACCTTAAGCTTCCACAGTGATGTATGTCAATTATTTCTCAAAAAAAAACTGGAAAAATTTCATTTTTCCCAAATAAATCCTCAAAAGAGAAAGACTGACTCTACAGGGTTGTATTTCTGTCTTCTGTGTGGTCTCAGTGTCACCTGGGGTTCTACTCAGAGTTGGGTGAGTGTACAGAAAGGTGCTATGTTTTGGGGAACCCCAGATGACTGTTTCGATGCAGACTCCCTAAGGGATTCTTTAACAGTGTGTGAGTTAAAGACTTCTTGGAGGGAAGAAGGGAGGAAATCCCTGAGATACACAATACCTGCTAACAATTGAGAATAGAAATGAAATGAACACTATGTGCAGTTATGACCGATCCTTTAGAACACCACAAATGGATGTTGTAAATGCATGTCAAGCAACAGAAACAACTGAATAGGGACTGAATCTCTGATAAGTGTGTGTGCATTTATTTATGGGCCCCAACGAAAGAGGTGCTACAGAGGGAAGAAGGACAAGCATTTTTGCTGTCATAAACAAAAAGGTCCACAAATAAGGCAGCGGATAACCAAGGCCTGGCTCAGAGCCACAGAGTGTGGGTGGCACTGCTCTTCCTACAAATGCAAAGACACCATTGAGCTACTGTATGTATCCTTCACAAAATCATTCATTTGCTGTCTGTTTCCTAGTTACGGTAACAATCACAAGCTTTAAAAACAGCTTGTCCTACGCAGTATGGCAGACAGTGCCCAATCTGTGTTTTGGGCCTGATGCCCTCGCAGACAAGCTCTTAGCAGACTGCATTTAGATTTTTTCAAGGGAATCAGATCTTAAAAAGAAACGAATTCTGTTGCTCTGATTTATGTCTAAACTCCTGGTTGAGAACATAGTAGCAGTCTTTGAGGTCACAGGCAGAGAAAACAGCCTCAGACTCGGGGGAGCGGACACTCACTGCTCCAAGGGAGGGACTCGGCCTCACACCCGCTCCCGCGGGCAGCCCCGGCATCAGGCCGCCTTGACTGAGCTCTCGCTGAACAGGCCGCCTTGACTGAGCTCTCGCTGAACGTGTCACTTTCCTCTGAACCGGCTTTACCTGCCGAGCTCTTTCTGAAAATGGCACTCGCCCTCCAGTCATCTGGGCTCAAAGTGCTGCTATCAGTTTGGACTTCGCTGTACCCTGGCAGAATCCTACCAGATTTATCTGTACGATCTCACTGATATCGTCCCCTCCCCTTCAGATTCATGAGCGCTGCCCTCGTCAGGCCCTCATCATCTCCACCCTCAGCACACGCTCTCATCTTCTTTTGTCCCTGTCACCAGTCTTGCCCCCTCCAGTGTAGGCTGTGCACCCTTTCAGGCTAATTCCTGAAGCTGCCTCGATCAAAAGTGTCCAGCTGCCTCTTACCACTGTGGAGAAGTCCACTTGAAAAACTCAATGATACTGAAAAACTCCCATACTGAGAACCAGAGCTTAGAGGAAAAGGCTACACTTCTTGGCTTGCCATTTGGAGCCAAGCTATTTGTCCTTATTTCCTACAAATCCCCTTCACGCACCCCCTTCCTCAGGCACACTGCGCTGGTCCTCTGACCTAGCTGCACCTTGGCTTTCCTGGTATTTGCTGTCACTCAGGCTTTCCCCCCCACCCAGGCATCACACCCTGCTTTCCACCCACCCCGATTCTGCCCGCCTGTCAATTCCCGGCTCTGACCGTTAACCGAAAGACTTGCCTGGTTGAGCCTGCTAAAAGCAACCCCTACCCCCTGCCCACCTCCTAGTCGTACAGCACTTTGATTTATATGTTTAAAGGAACCAATTACATTTTATCAGTTCACCACCTGGTATACTGTTTTTATTTATGCATCATGCCTCTTCTGCTAGATTATAAACTCGAGGCAGAATTCATGTGTGAGTCATCTCTTTATTACCTAATGAGGGTAACAAGACAAGAATCCAGTATTTATTAAGTGTCTACAATGCACCTGGAATCTCATGTACATTATCTCTATTAATCTTCACAAAATAAAAAATCCTCATGAAGTTGGCACTTTCATTTTACATGAGAGAAAAAGGGTCTTCAAAGAAGGCAGTCACCTTGCCTAAGTTCACACTACTAGTAAAGGACTGAGTCTATTTTGAACATACTCCGAGATCTATGTTCTGGGACCATTAATATGAATCTCTGTACATCACTTGATGCTAAGTATATAAAATACACATTAGAAGTTAAATAAGTACCCATTAAATGAGAGAAGCTGTCATCTTCCATATACTAAAGCAAATTCATACAGTACACAAGGGTAATCCCCTGTAAGTATGCTCAGCTGGACAAAAAAAAGGTGCTTAAGTGACCAAAAAAAGATGGCCCATCATTCCATAGCTGTGTCACACACAGCAGAAGACAGGCCACAGCACAGATAAAGCTCAATTCAGCACAGTAGTTGTGATTTTTGTTTTCAGAATTACAATTTGTTTTTTAAAAATATAAACCCTATGAGGGAACTAGAAACTTGAAGAGAGAAGGAACTAGCTCAGAAAAGGAAAGGATTTTGAGAAGTACACGAGGCCTGGCAAGTTGTGCAACAACCACAATAAGATGCTGAGGATGGAGCCTGCACACTTTTCTTGGGTCGTCTGCACAAAAACAATACTTCTGAGTGACTTGAGGACATGACAAAGTTCATCTGTGGACTGAATTGAAGGGTCCAGCCAAGCTGCAAGCTCAGAATCTCTGAAGCACACACGTACCTTTGGAGTGTCGACACAGTCCTCTTCCATAAACACTGCCTCTGCCTGACAGCTGGATGCTGGAAATGGAAAGGCCTCCACAGTGGACGCTTGTGGGAGGAGGGTGGATCGCATCAGCCGCATGGCCGACGAGCGCACACTCACTGGGAGCCCCACAGTTTGTGCCTAAAAATATGACAAGAACAGAAATAGTGAAAATATACAAAGTTCTTGGAATAAAACACTTCTTGGTGCAATTAAAAGAGAGTTATTTGTTGGAAAGTCCAGAAAAGATTTGATGAAATATGTATAAAGTACAGGTGTCCATCTGAGGCAATAGCAATCAATTATTCTGAGACAATTGGATGGAATTTCATTTCTGCTCTGTGACAATGTGCACGCCTTTCATGCAGATGACCGGAATGTCAATTTTTGTAAGGAATCTAAGAATGCTCTTTTTTTTAATTCAGCAAACACATATTGTCTATATTCTTATGTATATTTCTTTGCGAAGATACAAATAGAAAAACTCCCTGTCTCTAAGAGCTCAGAGTTGAAGCAGGGGCAGATAGACACGCAATGAAGTGCACTGCAGTGACGGCTCTCTCTCTGCCTTTTCTTTTTTAGGTGGGGTGAGATGGTATATATTTCTTGGCAAGGGTGGGCATGAAGAAGAAAAGAGAAGCAGCAGTTACCTGGAGGTGACAGGAATGCCCTTCTCTCAAGATGTATAGCCTCAACACTGCCTGCCGGCAGGGGAAGAAGGAAAGGCGCTTAGTGCTGAGCGAGTTGTGTTCCTGACCCCGAGAGCTTCTGATGGTCTTACATGCACTCTGTATGTCTCCTTTGTTAAGAACTCTAAGTAAACAAGCCTTACAAATTCTTCTTTTAAAAAATCTTTAAAAAATCTTTTGAAAGAGACTCTTTATGATAATTAGCAAGGATTGATTATAAAGATGAAACTTGGATAATCCTCTTCTCCCCATCTCTTCAAAATCAGCAGAAAAATTGATTAGATGACATTTGAACATAACAGACATTGCAAAACATCTGATCACACTAGTTCTTAAAAGGTAGAGGAATGGCCTGATTTTGTTTCCTTTGCTATAATCCCTTCAAGGGATATAGGATGGTGAGTTTTAAATTAAAACAAATGAAAAGGGAAGAAATGGTAGTATTCTAGCTTGCCCTTTCCTAAGATCTAAGTTTGATTCCTGGCTCTGTCATTTACTAATTGTGTGAACTTCATCAGGTTACCTAGCCTCTTTGAACCTTATTTTCTTCACCTATAAAAAAAGTGCGTAATACCCATTTACTGAAGTTAGGATTATAAGGGTAGCATGTAAAGTCCTTCACCCAGTAATGTTAATTCCTCCTTTCTCCTTCTTATTAAAGTCTTAACATGATCACAAGAAATTAATGTACAAATACATGTATTCACTTGCAAATGAATATACAGATTTGTTCTCAGATATTATCTAACGGTCCCCAGTTAAAATTTCAGGTTGATGGTTTTCAATGATGGGGGGATATGTTAGAAATATACTTTATATTTGAATATACCTCGAATATATTTAGAATATATTTAGAATATTTAGAATATTGGTATATTCCAATATTAACATCATCAGATAAAAAATGAAATAGTAACAGTGAAGTGCTGGTATCATACAGATAGTAAAATCAGAAATAAAAAACCCAAAACACTGCATACTGTCCTTATCATGATAAATAAAGAAATGGCATTTTCTATATCATCATCCTTCAGGCTTATATCCTGGGTCACTTTTGAGGCTAAACAACTTTTTCTTCCTTTCAAGCATTAGTCATTTAATTTTTCTAGCTACCATGTCAAAATGTAAGATTTAAACTTCCTAATAAAATACAGTTTGCCTTTGAACAATGCGGGGATTGTGGCATTGAGCCCTGGCACAGACAAAAATCCATGTGTAACTCTGACTCCCCCAAACCGTAGTTACTAGGAGCCTACTGCTGACCAGAAACCTTAATGATAAAATAATCAATCAATGCATTCTGTATGTTATATGTACTATACACTGTATTCTTACAATAAAGGAAGCTGAAGAAAATTTTTTTTCAAATTGTCACAAATACCCAATAAGTTTTCCCATATATTTATTGAAAAAATCCACTATAAGCGGATCCGCACACTTTGAATCCGTGTTGTTCAAGGGTCAACTGTAGTTAGAATGAACAAAAAAGGGCAGGACATATACTTTTTCTAAACAGTCACCTGTAGTCAGATGTAACATCTCCTACATATTGTACAGCAAACGTAAGTACTCTAAAACTATCTAAGATGAGAATCTCACTGTTTTCTAAGTAGTAATAATGAGTCCTTTATCACTACACCATAAACTCCTTGAGGCCAGGGACTGTTTCCCGGGTATCTCTGAAGCCAAGCAGCTGGGATTGTGCCTGGTGCACACGTGCTCTATTTGCTGAAAGGAGCTGCTGGTGTAACTTAACTAATTTTATCTCTGTGGCAGACTTGTGAAGTAGGCATTGCTATTTCCATTTCATGCTGAAGGGCACTGGAGCTCAGAGATGCCGGCTGGCCAAAGTCATTCCCCAAGCCAAGGTCTGTATGATCCTGCTGCTCAGTGTCATTCCCCCAGTTCCTTATCACTACAGCAAGTAACAATAACAAGGGATTTGCCAGTTCTTTAAAAAAAAAAAGTAGGACATAAAAGAATGTAAGGGAGAGTGCTCTACTAAAACTTGAAGCACATTTATATTCATAAGAAAAGAGAAATCAATTTTTACCAAGCTTAACAGTGAACATGAGAACGGAAATCTCACAGTAAGGGAGAGCCTTGAGCCCCTGTACCTGTTGCTTAGCATCCAGAAGGTGCTCAAGGCCAGTTTGTGAATGAGCACTGAAGACTTCTGCTTGAATTAGATGCATTTTAAGTCACAGCAGGTAGCCTCCTATAACTACCTGTGTCGATGCAACAAATGCAAAGAACTCCTGGGGTGCTTGTAATAAGAAAAAATGGTCTAACAAGAAGCTATGTTATACATCTGAACTCTGAGCCAGACTAAACATAATCTTAGATTGAGGGAATTCCCTTCAAGTTTAGCTGTGAAAGGAACTCATGTACAATAATATGTGTGTATGCTCAGGATGGGCCACTTCTGTCACACTCACGTGTGTCCTGGTTAAGGTAAGTAAAGATACTTGGGGGAAGCCTACCCCCACATCTCACTGTTACTCCCCTGATCTAGGAATCCTCCCTGTATGCCCCTTCTCTTTGTCTTGACGGCAATGTAACCCAACTTGGAAGGATTCCAAGTGCACAGAGACACTCTAATCCAAGTACCTGGGATTTTTATCAATACATTGTTTTACTCATATTAGCATCAATATTCACATACTTAATATATTGAAGTACATAAAGTATATATTTGCCTATTAAAAATCAAGATTTTAATTTCCTTGTTTTTTTTTCACATGTAGAAGCCAATGCAAAATGCTATTCTAATCCTACAAATTTTGTAAAACTGGCAAAGAAGAAATTAAAGCCAAAATTCTTCTGTTCCTAATTGCACTTTGAACAACGTGAGCCTTCAGAGGAGTAGATGGAAATCCTGATGCGCTGACATAAGATGAATGAACAAGTCCCTTCTCAGCCTCCATGCAGAAGACCCCCAGCTTCTTGTCAGCCCCCAGCTTCTCTCCTGGGACCCAGATCCCTCCCTCCTGAGCGATGAGCCACTGCTGGACTGGTTCTCTAAGCCTTGGGCCCAGGCATGGAGTCACCTCCTCCTGCCCGAATCTGTTACTTTGTCTAACAGAAACTTACATAGCACTGTTCTAAGTGCTTTACAATGATTAACTTATTCAAATGTCATGACTATCCTATAGTTACCCCCATTTTGTGGCTTGGGAAACTGAGGCAAAGACCTCACGTAAGTTCTTTAAGGTCACAAAGCAGGAAAAGGCAGAATCGGGTTTGTTCCTGAGTCCCTGCTTTTAACAGCAGGCTGAGCTGTGTCTCCAACCCACTGCCGAGTCTGTGAGGCGTCTTCTCTGGAGGTGGTCCACACGCTATTCCTTCCTTCCCACTTCCACCAGCGCCGTATCATTAGCTCAAGCCTTCAGCACCTCTCAGCTGCTATGATGATCTCCTGGCTGCTCTCCAGATCTCTTCCCTTCCTATCCAATCCATCCTTCCCAACGGTGCCAGATTGATTAGCTTAATGCACAGACATGATGTTTTTACTTTTCTGCTTTACAGTCTTCAGTAGTTCCTCATTTCTTCCTGAACTGTAAGGAGACTGTTTACTTTGGCATTCAAAACTCAACTTGGCTTCAACTTACACCCCAACTTTTTCATTTCCCAAAGCTTCAATTTAAGTGGACTGATTTGAACGAATCCTACACTGCCTGCTGAGCACTTCTGCCCACACTGCTGCTTCCGCGTGTATTCAATGCCTTTAAGTATGGCTTCTCCCCAGCGTGGGCCTACCCGCCCAGGATCTGTCCTAAATACCTTTGTGCAGCCTCACATTTCTCCATTTCAAATGATGCTTAGTTGTCTGAGGGCAATGGCCGTGCTATGCATCCCACCCTCTCCAGTGCCTAGTAATAGGCACAGGTCCAATCTGCAATTAAAACTTTTAAATAAAATTGAATGTACAGGTTAATCACATTAATTCTCACATAAATGAATGATAAACAAATGAGAAGTTTCTTAAATAAAAAACTTTGAAATAGAGTTAATTTTAAAAATAAGGAAGATGCCAAAACATTTGAGAAAGTCGTGAGTGACAGGCAGAAACCTTATGGAAAAACAGAGTGCAGAGGATGAAATCCTGACCCTTTGTACTACAAGATGAAAAATACGTCAGACATGTGAACAGGCACATGCACAGACAAGACCACTGGCTAATGGGGTGTTACCTTGGCAACTGTTTGCTCAGCAATGGTGCTAGGCCGCCGCTGGCGGGCATCAAGTCTCTGCTCCACAGGAAAACTGCTCCTGTGTGACTTCAGGCGTTCCACCAACAAGTAATAGATGGCAGCAAAGTGGTTGTAGCTCTTGTTCTGCAAAGACTGAGAGAGAAAACAAGTCCTGAAGGTAGAGGACCATAAAAACCAATCCAGCTTACTAAGAAAGGTGACCTAGGCCTTTCTAAAAAAGGAGGGAAGAAACCGTGAGTCCATAAAAATGAGTAACAAACTATGCCTCAAAATGAAAGCTGTCCCAGAACTTAGAAAGGGAAGCAGATGATTTCAAGTTTCTAGTATTGATTATATAAGGGGTGATACCTCTAAATAGCTCGACTGGCCCATTTATATTAGTAGGATCCTTACGTTTTTCTACACTCAGAGAAAATGCCATCATTGTCTCATGTAGACATCCCCACTGCTGCCTCTGGTCCCATCTCATAGCTGTAACCATGGTGTAAGGTCGGTTAGCAAAGGGGGCCCAGGGGCTCCAATTCCATAGTTTCAACATAAGTCCAAACCTTTGCAAACTCTGAAGTGAATGACTGAAGTCTGGGGAAATTTCTGGTGATCATTTTGGGCAGGAGAAGGACATCTAGATGCTAGATTGAGAGATACTGTCTCCATTCTTAGGTAATTTTTCCTCTTGTTTTTGCAGTCCCACCCTCTGAAACCTTGAAAATAAAGTTGCTTCCCAACTTTTCACATCCCTCTTCAGCCAGCTTTGCCAGGATACCAACAAAACAGAGAAACAACTGCTCCTCTGGCTTCTAATTGCCCCTGGCAGTCTGCATGGGTGCTGTGCGGTGCAACTCAGCAGCAGGGCCTTCAGTGAGGGCCACAGGCCAGTGGGGCTGTGCTCACAGCTGCCACCTTAGAGCTCCTTCATGGGCAACACAGAGGAACATCACTGCAGGCATGAGGAGCAGGGCAACTGAGCCAGCTAGTTTCACTATGGCTACAGTGGAGAAAAGCAGCACAATTCGGAGCACTTTATATTCACGAGGGGATGTCTTGTATTGTTAGTTATGCTTCCTCCTTAAGAGCACTGTTTGTTTGTTTTTCACTGTTGGGGAGGTATTAAAAATATGTACATCCTATGAATATGCTAACTAGTAAAGGACAGAAGTAAAAGTGATGAGGAACTTCCCAGGTTTGTGACCTTCTCTTCTCTGACCTGTAAGGCTTCCAAATCAGGAATCCACCTGATTTTGCCTTCTCAGTCTCTCCAGTTAACCACCTAAATTCCACTGGCTTTCCTAAACCTGATGCCTACCTTTCTTGTTTCCCACTCAGCCCCCAGCCTTATTCCATATCTGTACTTTCATATTCCATACAAACTAGTTTATTACCTATATAAAACTTTATGCTTCATCTTAGAAGAAACTTTCCATTTGTATTTGTAAGCTTTCATCTTTGTCTTTCCTCAATTCTAATAAACCCTTCCTCTTGAATCTTCTGGAAGATAGGGCAAAGGGAGGAATTTATACATTGAATAAAAACAAACATTAAATAGAGTCTGAAGTAATCTTCCAAGGAAAACTGAATGGTATGCCTACAAGATGGCCAAGCTAAGATGACAGGTGTTAGCGTGAAATTTCAGGTTAGTCAGTATAGTGGAACCCTGGGGTATCTTCAGTCAACCCTCTGCCCACTGTACCTCAATAGTTTTCTGTTGGTCTATTCCAAGGCTGTGCATCAGACGCAGAACCTGTTCATTAAACTCCCCAATGGATGGCTCATTTTCTTGCCCTTGTGGATAAAGGGTAGTTCTCTGGACAGGAACTTCTATGAGCATCCATTTGTGCTCCTTGATTTGAGCTATGGTAAGCCGTTTGGATGGGTCCAGGACCAACACCCTTCGAATGAGGTGCTCACAATCTATGGAAAACATGTTACAAAAGTCATGTAAATCACCTTGCACTTGAGGGGCATTTGCTCAGCCCACGTGGCTTTGTCCCACAGCGTTAATCTTGTGTCCTCCACAGTGCTCATGGACAGCAGAAGGTCAAATGAACCCATCAGTATGTGAAGGTTACTCATATTTGCCAAGTTCACATGGTGAATGTTGACATACAAAATTAACCATCACTGTGAAAGGAATACTTAAGAAAAACAGGAGGGTGTACATCTACCCAACTCTGTGCAACATTGACTGTTCTACTGAGCCACTCTGAAAATACCTAGGCACAGGCTTAGATTTCCACTACTGACAAACACAACCCTTTTTCCTAGAACAAGGGCATAATAAATGGATTTGCAGTCACTTCTGAGGCTGGTACATTGGGCTGCATATGTGACTTGTGTTTCTTCCTATTGGCACAGCTAAGAAACATGTACATGAAACAGTATCAACTTCTGAGTACGCTGAGAAAACCGCGCCACGGGAACCAGGTGGTCCTCCGAGCTGATGCTGAGCTCTTTACTTCCTCACGTGGGCTGATCTTGTATCACTCGGTGTGCGCCAGGCACCATCCTATGTGCTTTCTACACTAGTTAATCCACACAACACCCTTGTTAGGATCTATTGTTATTTCCACTTTATAGACAGGAAATTGAAGCACAGAGGGAAGGTGTAACTTGCCAGGGTTAGACTGCCAGTAAGCAGTAGACTCAGGATTGAAACCAGGCTGTCCAGCTCCAAAGTCTATGTTCTGAACTAGTACAGCATTATTTCTATCGTTACCAGGAACAAAATCTAAGGATGATAACCAAAAATTAAACTAAGGAGTAAACTGCTGCTTATGTAACAACCCAATACAAGACTGGTAGGGATTCATCTTAATTCATTGGCTTTGCCAGTTGTTTTTAATTAAAAATTTAATTCTGTAAATTCCACCAAAGGATGGGGAAAATTCATTTCATACTTAGAGTGAAATGGTTGTGATTCTGTAACTAGGTCTAAAATAAACCTGGGGCATTTACAAATTGAGAGTAAATGGGAAGACCTGCTGTTCTTAACCTGGGAAACCTTGTTTTCAGTCATGAGGAGGAGGCTGGAGCCTCTCATGTACATGGAGGAGGCTGCTGGCAGTCGATTTATTGGGCACCCAGACTCTTAGAAATAGGGGAGCCTTTGCCTAGGCATTTAACTTGGAACACAAATTCTGTAAAGCACAATTATCAGATGAACAGGTTGTTACCTTCTGACATGAAATACGGAATCCGGAATCTTCCTTCTAAAACCCTCTGCCTCAAGATTGGAAGAGTCGGTCCATCAAAAGGCAGTGCCCCGCAGACAAGGACATAAAGAACAACTCCCATGCTCTAGGAAGAAAACAACAATCATTTTTCCACTGAGAACTTCAGTCTTTGTTTTCCTAAACATCCCCAGGGCTCTTAAAAATTACATGGACTGAAAAATTCCTGTTTGAATTTAGTGTTTCCTTGGAATTTGAAAAAAAAAAGGAAACCCTGATTGTTGCAGTAAGTTATCCTCTAAGAAACACCAAAAGATCTGAACCTAATCATTTTGACTACTACTTAACTCTAAATTGTTGCTGATATTAAGGTGGATATCTGTCCCTAGAAATTCTTTCCTAGGATCTCATTCACGATGGTCTGACTAATTACAGTGCAGTGGACAGGGGAACTATGAACTATACCCCTGTTAGGTACCAAGAGCTTAGAAGATGGGCCAAGTACCGAGTATTCTCATTACAGATGCATTTAACACAGCAAAGCAAAGAAATACCCAAATATCCAGCTGTGGTCCTTCATACTGCTGCCCTTCAAAGACTTCTGGGGCTGCATAAGGGGGGCTGCCACACCATGTTGCCAGCAGTTCACCACTTTTAAAGAAATTTCCAAAACCGAAATCTAGTGGGATGGAAATAAATGTTACTTTCATCTACGCTCTCAAACTATACTGAATTTCTTGTAATAAATTTTATAATATGCTGTATCAACAATAGCACCACTATTTACTCTGTGAGGAATGCGATGACATCTATCTTGTGATGTTCTTTGGCATTTAGCACAATGACTGGCAAATATTAACTCAATAAATATTTGTTGAGTGAATGTATAAATGAATCAAGTTTTCTCCTCAAAGACAATGAGCCAGAGATTGCAAAAAGACTTTAAATCACGACTTTAAATCACATATTTTTAAGGCTGAAAGGAAATCCACTGGTGTGGACAGCCAACTTGAATTTGGTAATCTTAGAATTTCAATTACTCCATGATTAAGAGCTCTTTATCTTACATGGTCAGTAAGGAACAAATGAGGAAAACTCTAAGATATGTATGTAAACAAGCTGAGTGTTTCACTGCTCGTACAGCCCTCACCCCAAAGGAGCATGATATACCACCTTTTAAGGCAACCGAGTGCAGTGTTAGTGAGCAACAACTCTCAGAGTGTGGCCCACACACCCTGATCTATGCAGACACCCATCTGAGCGGGTGACACGTGATGGCTGTATACCGAGACACTATCACTGTTCCACGTATTTACTCAAACACCTAGTGGCCTTCCCCTTATGGTTTTAGTCCCATGAATCTACAGATTTGATATAAGGCATGTCCTCTGGAAACACTGACTCAGAGTCCTTCGATAGGCATGAAGATTACAGCAGAAGACAAATGCAGGGAGCTTCGGAATAAATACAAGCCCTTTTTGCTAATAAGCCTTCACTAATCTCAGGTTCTTACTGAAGAAACAAACTCCTATTTTGTGAGTCATAGCCATAGCATCCTGACTAAAGAATGCCACCTTAGTAGCAGGAAGTGGCTCTGCTCCCAGCTTGTACAGCAGGCACTGCATGGACAGGGAGCTTTAAGAGGTGCCCAGGAGGGGTGGATCATCTCCAGTGACAAACTGACTGGCTGTGTGACCTGGATCAGCCTTATGAGCATCAGTTTCCCCATCTGTAAAGCTGATATAACAACTATCTATAGTCAGCAGGTCGTTGGGGAGGAGGAGGTCCAGTGAGTTAACATACACTCACACTCTACTCACACCTTGAGATCATGCACACATCGGTACTTGGGCAGATCATTCTCTGCTCAGTGGTATACAAAGCGGTGGGGGTGGCGGCAAGGTAAGGGCAGCCCCACCGCAGCCTGGGGTGCAGAAAGCTGGAGCTGGCTTCCAGTTTCGCCACTTTCTAGCCTCACGGCCCCTAGGTAAGTTATTTAACCTTCCTGAACTCTATCTCCTGTTTCTATACATGCAGAGATTACCCACCTACCCAGACAGGGAACTATGAGGATAAATGGGATGAAGGGTGCACAGTAACTGCAGTGCAGTAGGTCTGAAATGTGAGCCCTCTTCTTCTCTGAAGCCATTATTACCAACTACTGCCTTTCATAAAAAAAGGTCCTGAGGACACACACAGGAAGGTGGAGTGTAGTGGGTCTTAAGGGTTCAGAAGAGAAAAGAGAGTGCATGTGAGAAAAGAGACTCAGGCACCAGCTAAACCTGTGGCCTGTTCCTGGCATCTAGGAGCAAGAGGCCATGAGAACCATTCCCGTCACAACGTGACTGAAGGTCAGTCTTATAACTACTAGGTCAAAATGACTGTCAGAGAGGACTTACCTTCTCAGTCCCACTCCCACCACACTGTAACTCATATGTGTCTAAATCTCCAGAAAAAAACTGTACTATCAAATGAGTCAAGGAGTAGATGTCCAAATAACATTTAAGAGAAAAGGGTTAATTTCAATCACATGGAAAAATACACGAGGCTCTGGGATGTGTTTGGAGATCCTGAAATAGGTCCAGTAATTGCTATACTATAAACCATAATCACAGGATGAGTTTTAGCACATTAAGTTGAAGATACTCTCCAGACAGCATTGTAAAGTTTTAACAGCCCAAACAGCCGTTTTGGAACTCCTTTTATTTTGACCTTCCCTGGGCTCCAGGGGAACGAACACAAAGGATGGACGGGACAGAGGCCTTTCAGGAAGCTGGCCAGGCTTCTTTGCTACCCTAGGCTCTCTCACTGGCACACTTGACAGCAAGACACGAAGAGCCAGGAAAGCGCCATAGTACCTGGGGAGCCTAGCCTTAACCCTGGCTTTATACACGCAGGACAAAGAGCATGTCCTGCCAACTCATAACTATAGTGGCACAAAGCAGATGTTGACTTCTTCCCGCAGGTAACTGAGGAAAACAGGAACTTGAGGTTGGAGGAGTATTAAAAAAAAATACCAAAAAGACAGTCAAAGTTCACTGAAGTAATTATAATGGTACCTATGGAGATGTTGTCTATAACCTTGTCAAAGCACTCAAACACTATTTGTAATTATTATGGGTTATGGAAGATTTTGGTGTCAGGCAGATCTGGGATCAAATCCTGGGTTTTCCACTTAGCCATGTCATCTTGGGCAAATTACATCATAGAGCCTTGTTTTCCTCATTTGCAAAATGGGGACAATATCTACACTTCATATAAAGTTACTGTAAGTAATTTATATAATGAGTGAGTATAGGTATGTAAGTACACTTACATTTTAAGTAGACAATATATATAATGTTTTAGGCATGCTACTGCAACTTAGTAGGTGCTCAATAAACAGTAATTTAGTAAGTCACTAGAATTCTTCTTACTGTATTACTTATCTATTTTCCCCATCAGACTAAATTTCCTGAGAGTAGAAGGGGGAAATGATAATGTACCTGTTCCCCTAGCTTTAGCATTCTGTTTGTAGCCAGCAGCTGTTCAACAGTTTGCTGAATGACTATGTTGTCATCATCTCATGAAACTTCTATGTTCTACGTCTCTCCTGTGTTCCAGAAGCTGATGTAAGCTCTCTGAAGATGATTTCTTCCTAATAACCCTGTGAGGTATCCTTATTTTAGGAGAGAGTTAGGGTAGGAAGTTAAGTGTCTTAGATAAAGAAGGTTATTCTAAGTTGCAGAACTGGAATAGAAACCAAGTCTGACCACAGAGTCCTCACTGTTAACTACCTCGGCACAGCTATGTGTAGCTCTTTTTGGGCAAGTTAATAATTATCAGGTTTAAGATGTGGCAATGGAAAGTCACTTAAAAAAAAGGCTTTTTATTTCTTAACAGGAATCTGGTTAATTTGCTTCATTCTTGGCCTGCAGCTATCTGACTAAAAGCATATAGTGAAGTGAGGGGTGAGGCAGGAAAACAGCACAGCTTTGCAGGTTTTGTTTCCTACTGCCATTTATTCAAGTGGAATGGACTGATGTTTCATCACACCAACCAAATTCACCCATTCACTCCCTCATTAAACATTTGAGTGCACATGTGTGTCAACTACTGTGCAAATAATAACAGACCCTAACATCACCATCTGACTTTTTGGAAAGCATTATGCAAACAATCACTTGGGACTTCCCTGCTTTTTGCCAGACCCAGATCCAGTCTGGCCTTGCTGGAAAGGAAACATCCTTCCAGTTCAATGTCTTTCCCAATGCTCTGATCTGCAACTTAACACCTAAAATAATGCTACCATGTACCTCAGATGTATTGTTTCTGTTTATCATAAAACTTATGCCATGTAATGTTGGGCTCCCTATGATATTCTTAAACCTTTAGTTTTGAAATAATTGTAGACTTTTATAGAAGAGTTTTAACAATGAGAGAGAACTCCCTATGCCCTTCACCCAACTTGCCCTCATGTTACCACTATACCTATGTCTGTTAGTAAAAGGATCAAAACCAAGAAAGTGACACTGACTCAATACTACTAACTAAACCGCGGACTTCATTAAGACTTCACCAGCTTTTTTTTGCACAGGTGTCCCCTCTCGGGGCAGGGTTCCACAGTGCAGTCAGTAGTCATGCCTCCTTAGTTGTCTCTGAATGTAACAGCTCCTCGGTCTTTCCCGACTATGAACAGTACAGATCAAGTACTTTGTAGACTGTCCCTCAGTTTGTGTTGCCTGATGCTTTCTCACAATTAGATTAAGATTATAGGCTTGTGGGGAGACCATCACAGAGGCGACATGTTCTCTGTGCATCGCAATAGGGGTGCCTTATGTCTAATTACCAGTGGGGTTAACCTTGTTCTCTTGATAAAGGTGGTGTCTGCTGGGTTTCCCCATTGTAAAGTTATAGTTTTTCCCTCTGAAATCAGTAAATATTTTAGGGAAGATAAAATGAGACTACACATATCCTGTTTCTCCTTAAACTTTTATATACTCATTTTAGCAATCACTGGCAGATCTTGATTGCATCAATGACCACTGTGGTGTTCTAATGGTGAGTTTTCATTTCCCTCATTCCTTCTATACTTATTAATTACAATTTTTCTGTCAGGAAGAGTTGTCCCTTTTTTCCTATTTATTTATTTAGTCATTAAATCATTTACTTATAAATGTCAAGATTATTTTATTCTTTCATTATAATTCAATTCTACTTTTAATTATTTTGATGCTCAAGTAGTTCTAGCTTTGGCTATTAGGAGCTAATTTAGTTGTATCCTTTCAAAACACCCCTATCTTTAAAATTTTTCTTTTTATTTAAAATATTTCCTCAATCCTCTGGTACCAGAAGATGTTCCAGGCTTATCCTGTATTGTCCCTGTCCCAGCCCTGGAATCAACCACTTTTCCAAGGAGTCCTGCTTTCTTCAATAGAGGAATGCTATTTAGAAGCCAAGACTAGGACCTACATGTGCTCACTGCAATTGGGATGTCACTGCTTCTAGGTCTTCTAGGCAGACACTTAGGAACCATATATATGAAGGCTAATCCTACATTTATTAGCCAACATTTATTTCTGTATCTACCTACTTGTATATGTATTCCAAAAACAAAAACAATCTATAAGTTAATACTGGTACTTCTCACTTCAGGGTTCAGTCTAGCATTATTTTGACACTATTTTAATTCATACATGA